CCAGCCGGCGGCAGAGACTCCGTCTCAAAAAAAAAAAAAAAAAGCAATGTGGCAATGTCTAGTAAAATTGAGAATGTACCCAGTAATTTTTCTAGTTAAATACCCTATAGAAATTCTAAGGCAAGTGCCAAAGGAGACACCTAAAAGCTTTTCACTACAGCAATGTTTGTAATAGCAAAAAATACTATAATTTAAATGTGCATCCCTGTAAGAATGAATAAATATACTAAAATGGATGCATAAAATAGACTACTATAAAAATTAATGAGAATAAACTAGATTCTTATATTAGCATGAACAGTTCTTAAAAAAACAATGTAAGCAAAATGCAAAATAAAATGCAGGAATTTTATTAATGTAAAAATTTAAAATACTATTGTATATTGTTCAAGGATCTCTATTAACATATTTGAATGTAAAAGTATGAAAAAAAGTAGTTGTCCATGGAAAGGTAAAAGGATGTAAGACAGGAAATGGACAAAACAGACAGATAAATAAACAAAACAAAGAGGGAAAAAGAGACCCGCAAGCTTTTCCCTGACATTAAATACTAAAATAAAATACTCATGTCTGTATGTGGCTCAATATTGGCAGTATAAAGTTTAAAGCTTTTTATTCTCAAATTGATTGTAATCGTTGAGAGAACAAAGGAACACAATGGCTTGGGCCTCTATCTGGCATGAGTAGCTACTTTCTGCACCAAATCCAGAACATCTGTACTGGGGTGTCTGACACTTGCGTGCTCTCTCTCATTCTGACTCCTTCTTTCCCCTTACATACCACTTTTTTTTTCCTTTCTTCCTTCCCTTGGGTCTCTACCACAAAAGCTCCGCACCAGGCTGGGGTTCTGACACTAACTTGGCATGTGATTCTGGCCTGCCACCTCACCATTCTGAACCTCAGTGTTTTCCCCTCTAAATCTGGGAGAACACCCATCCTGCCTGGAGGCAAGTAGGGCTCGCTGTCAGTTCTTTCTGCTATTTCTCTACTCCAGCATCATCTCCAGCAGACTACAGGCATACAGAGCCTCCGCCTTAATCTCACCTCTGCTCTTTGTCTCTGCTTCAGCTCCTGCTGGGCTGATTTCTGTTTGGCCTTCTCAACTCTGCTGACAGGTTCTTTAACTTTGGTTTTTTCTTTACGTGCAGGTGGATCCATGGCTTGACTTCTGGGTATTTCTTAGGAGGCTCTGATCTGGGTGGTACAGAAAAAGGCAGATCTTAAAAAAAAAAAAAAAAAAAAAAACCTGCCAGTCATTCCTCTAACTAATCCTTTAGCTCCGCCCCATCCTTTGCCAGGTGAGGCAGAGGGGTCTGGTGGCAAGGGCGCTGGATGTGGCGGAGTAGGAACCCAGTCCCAACGCCACAACCTCGCTGGGTGTCCCTGGACAAGTCTCCTCCCCACTCTGAGCCTTAGTTTTCTGTCTGCAAAATGGGTTAATAGTGTCTTCCTGGCCTCCCTCCAGGAGCTGCTGTGTGCGGGTGGAATGCGAAGACCCCTGTGAAAGCTCTGCCCACTCTGCGGCCTGCGGCACCCACCACGGAACCGTCCTAATGGGATGCTGAGGTCCAGGGGACGCCCACGGTTTTCCCACCGCGGCCGGCCTAACTGTGCCGCAGCAGCCGCTCCTGGAGCCTGGGGGCCGGGCCCCACCGCCGCCCGGGCCCGCCCTCCGCCGCCCGGCCCCCGACTCCGCCCCGGCCCGCCCGGTCCCGGGGGACGGCCCCCGCCTCCCGCCCTCTTCGCTCTTCTGGAGGAAAATGGCGGCCGCTGGAGCCGCCGACAGAGGGGCTCGGGAGTCGGTACCTTTCCCGACCGGCCCGCTGGAAGTCGGAGCCTCCGCCGACTCGCAGACAACGCCTCCGGGGGGTAATCCTCGCCTTCTCTCCACCACTGGACCCAGCACTGCGCGCCCACCGCCCCTCGTCCTGGGCGGGGCCGCGCGCCGCGGGGAGGGGCGGAGGGCCGAGTGCCAGGAGGCTTCCGCCCGCAGGAACGGCTGCGCGTGCGCGGAAAGGATAGCTGGAAAATCACGTAGAGGGAGGGGCGGGGCAGGGGCGGAGCCAGGGCGGGGTGGGTGGGTGGTGGTTACTGTTAACAAAAGCTTTTTCACCGTTATATTTTATGCAACAGCTGCTAGCTTTTAGAGGGTGAGATCTGAATCCTGGAATTGGAATTGCTCAGAATTCGAATTCCGAGCCTCAATTTCTTAATTCGAAAAGTGGGGATTGGTGATTGCCACCTTCTTCATTCATGAGTTTATTGGGAGGATCAAATGAGATCCCGTTTGCCGCAGTGCTTTGAAAAAGGAAATCTTGACAGAAGTACCAATAGCCAGTATAAATACAGAGAATATTCACGTTCAACTGATTACGAAGGAGATGTAAATTAAAATAGCTGACTGTCATTTTCAATGTATCACATTAGCAAGGATTGACAAAAATGACAATAGCTACCTTACATTTGGGCATACTATATTCCAGGCACTGTTCTTACAGCTTCACATTTATTAACTCCTCATAATAAATGTCTAGAATGTATATGTGTATATTATTATCTCCATTTACACATAAGGGAACAGAAGCACTGAAAAGTTTAGTGAGTTGTCCCGGGTCACACAGCTCCTAAGTGCTGGAGCAAGTATTTCAGCCAGGATTCATAGGACAATGGCCTTATCCAAAGTAAAACCATGTTTGGGTCCACTATTTGTTCCTCTATCAAAATGGCAAGAATTGAAACAATTGATAGATGCTAAGCAAGCAATGAACTCAGCCCAGATGGACACACACTTCCAGTCAAACTGTAAATCGTTGACAGCCTTTCTGGAGGTCAGTTTAGTACTAGGTATCAAAAGCCTTAAAACACAACCCCCCAAAAAGACAAATACTGCATGTTTCCATTCATATGAAGTATCTAAAGCAGTCAAAGTCTAAGAAACAGAAAGTAGAATGGTGACTGCCAGTGGCTAGGAGAGAGGGAAAAGAGGAATTGTTAAAGGACGTAGAATTTTAGGTTTGTAAGGTGAAAAAGTTCTAGAGATCTGCTGCAAAATGTTTATTTTTTATTTATTTAATATTTAAAAAATAGATGGGGTCTTGCTCTGTCACTCAGGCTGGAGTGCAGTGGTGTGATCATGAGTCACTGTAACCTGGGCTCAAGCAATTCTCCCACTTCAGCTTCCAAAGTATCTGGGACTACAGGCACACACCATCATGCCTGGCTAATGTTTTTAATTTTTTTGTAGAGACGGGGTCTCACTATGTTTCCCAGGGTGATCTGGAAATCCTGAGCTCAAGTGATACTCCTGCCTCAGCCTCCCAGAGTGCTGGGATTACAGATGTGAGCAATTGCGCCCAGCTTTCCCAGAATTTCTACAGTAAACGTTCATACTTTAGCAATCAGAGGAAAGTATAATAAATGTCTTTTTAAAAACCCTATACAAATGCTGATTCGATTATTATTAATAAAAGTAACCAAGCCAGAGTCTGTTTCAGAAATCTTGATGTAGTACTGGTATTTCACATTTGTGTCACATGGTATAGTTTATAACGTTCATATAAGCTATAAACTAGATTACAGCTGGAGACAGGGCAGGACCTTTAGAAGCCTTTAAAAAGCCAGCTAGCCGGGAGCGGTGGCTCAAGCCTGTAATCCCAGCACTTTGGGAGGCCGAGACGGGCGGATCACGAGGTCAGGAGATCGAGACCATCCTGGCTAACACGGTGAAACCCCGTCTCTACTAAAAAATACAAAAAACTAGCCGGGCGCGGTGGCGGGCGCCTGTAGTCCCAACTACTCGGGAGGCTGAGGCAGGAGAATGGCGTGAACCCGGGAGGCGGAGCTTGCAGTGAGCTGAGATCCGGCCACTGCACTCCAGCCTGGGCGGCAGAGCGAGACTCCGTCTCAAAAAAAAAAAAAAAAAAAAAAGCCAGCTAAAAACAGACCAGCTATAGGGAATGGAGGAGTGGAAAAGCCACATGGAAGACTGGAAAAGTAGTGGTGCCATTGAGGCACTGCTGAAAGTGGAAAAGTTGATAAGTTGGTTTGGGAAAGGGTGAGAAAGAGGATAAGTTAGGAGTGTGTGTGTATGTGTGTGTGTGTGTGCACGTGTGCGCACAGAGAGGGACCTAGAGAGAGAAAGAGATAGGTTATGCTTCAAGTGGCAATAGGCAAGAATTGTCCACTGAGCAATTACAAGACTCCAGAATAGCACAGAACTGGAGATACTAGTTTGGGATTCATTCTTTATCGGGAAGGTGAAGGTTGGAGCCAGGAGGGAGTGAAAGTTGAGGCTGAACTGCCGAGACCAGCTCAGTCGGGGAGACCCTAACCCAGTGGCACTAGAGGAATTAAAGACACACACACACAGAAATATAGAGGTGTGATGTGGGAAATCAGGGGTCTCACAGCCTTCAGAGCTGGCAGCCTCAAACAGAGATTTACTCACATATTTATTAACAGCAAACCAGTCATTAGCTTTGTTTCTATAGATATTAAATTAACTAAAAGTATCCCTTATGGGAAACGGAGGGATGGGCTGAATTAAAGGAATAGGTTGAGCTAGTTAACTGCAGCAGGAACATGCCCTTAAGGCACAGATCGCTCATGCTATTGTTTGTGGCTTAAGAATGCCTTTAAGGGGCTTTCCGCCCTGGGCTGGCCAGGTGTTCCTTGCCCTCATTCCCGTAAACCCACAACCTTCCAGCGTGGGCGTTAGGGCCATTATGAACATGTTACATGGCTGCAGAGATTTTGTTTATGGCCAGTTTTGGGGCCAGTTTATGGCCAGATTTTTGCGGGCCTGTTCCCAACATGTCTCCCTTCTTTGATTTGCAAAGGGATAAAAGCAAGGGCAACTTTGTCACAGTGACAAAGTCCTACTTCTCGCAGGAGTCGGGATCCGCATCTGCAGACTATACAAAGACAACGTAAATTAAAAACACAATCATCACTGAAATCACAGAGCTTCCAAGTATTTTTATCCATTTTCAACTCCTTTAAGCACTCCAGTTCCTGGAATTAAGGTCAGGTGTGCCTGGGATGCTTTAAATATTTGTTCTTTTCATTTTAAATCCTTATGTTAAGCTCCTAGAGCGGGCCATATCATTTGAGGTTGAGGTGCCACTATATCGCCATGGTTCCAGATAATAGGAACATTTGCCATACTTCTTATCATTTCTACCATCTGACCGTTTTGTTCAGATCATCTGAACATAGTATGACTGTGGCACGCAGACTGAGAGGTGCAATTCAAGCTAAACATCCCCTTGGGGGACCAATTAATAATGATTCCATAGGAATCGTTGTGCAGCACCTCTGCCCGTGCTGCAAAGCAATCTTCCTAGACAAGTACGTTCATTTCTTCAAACTGGGTCCAATCCTGTTCACAAATAGGTTTTTGAGCATGGTATGCCTCAATTATAGGAGCAGATTTATTACGGTAAATCCTGAGATCAGAAAGCATGTGTAACTGTGTCATAGTGGTTGTATCCAGGCATTATTACCAGCCGTTATTGAAGGAATACTCACAGCAGTGGTGATAACTGCTATCATAGCTACCATTAAATTATTCATTGTGACTGGTTGTCCTGCTTTCCTCAGGTTTTCTTCCACCATCTGTGACAGCTTCTTGATCTGTCCCCAGGTGGGTGGCTGTGTTCGACGGGTGTTGCTCGTGACAGTTGGGTTCCTCCTCAGCTCCAGTCTCGACATGGCTGCAACTGGGGGGTACTCGGGATCCTCCCGGAGTCTCTTCCTCAGCATCTGGCTCATAATAAGGTTTCAGGTGTCTTGATGGTATCCAAATCGGCTGTTGATTTTGGCCTGGAGAAATACAAGCATAACCTCTACCCTAAGTTATTATTTTACCTATTTCCTAACTTTTTATTATTGGATCTCTCCACCAAATCAGTTGTTCTGTTTCTGTCTTTGCAGCTGCTTTCTGTAGATGCTGTTCAGCTGCTGATAACATCTGGCCTTTGGGCGGATTCAAAAAATTTAAAGTTAATCATGCTAGGTTCAGTTACATCTGTGGGTTTCCATATTCTCTGTCTCTCCCTTTCTGCTTTTGCAACTGCTGTTTCAGGGAGAGATTCATTCTTTCCACTATGGCTTGCCCTTGAGAATTGTATGGGACACCAGTAATGTGTTTAATATTCCACATAGAGAAAAATGTAGCTAGAGCTTGGCTAGTATAGCCTGGGGCATTATCTGTTTTAATAGAAGCTGGAATGCCCATCACTGCAAAACACTGCAAAAGATGACATTTAACACAGGCAGAAGACTCTCCTGTTTGGCATGTAGCCCAGACAAAGTGAGAAAAGGTGTCCACACATACATGTACATAAGCTAGTCTCCTAAACGAGGGAACATACGTGACATCCATTTGCCAAATAGAGTTAGGTTCCAGTCCTTGAGGATTAACTCCTCCTGTAAAAGATGAGGAATGTACAATTTGTCAAGTTGGGCATCTCTGGATAATAGCTTTAGCTTCTTTCCAGGTAATGCTGTAATGCTGTATCTGCGTTTGAGAGCAGAGGCAATAACATGGGTTAAATTGTGAAAGTGTCTAGCATTAGATATTGCATTAGCAACTAGGTGATCAGCCATTTGATTCCCTTCAGTCAAAGGTCCTGGAAGAGGTGTATGAGCGCTAATGTGAGTAATGTAAAAAGGACGCATTCTACTCCTAACTGCTGTTGGCAATTGGGTAAATAAAGTCATCAATTGTTTGTATGAAATCGTAACTGAGCATTTTCTATTAACTGTGTGAATTACACAATTAACTGTGTAATTAACCACGTATGAAGAATCAGAAATCACATTAATAGGCATATCAAAAGCAGTCAATACCTCAATTACAGCTACAAGCTCCGCTTTTTGAGCTGAATGTAGGACGTCTGGAAAACTTTACTTTTCGAGCCAGAATAAGAAGTTTTACCATTACTAGATCCATCTGTAAAACAATGAAAACGCTTAGTGGGTTGCAGGTTGTTTACTGCGGGTATTGTAAATGCAAACCGTTCACAGTCTTGCTCAGCTAAAGAAAGAGTTTTTAAAATTTATTTAGGCCAATTTAACTATTAAAGGCCAATGTTTTGGAATTACAGCAGTAGAAGGCAATCCTGGCTGTAATGCTCCCACAGATTGTATAACTGAATTGATGGCTCTTAAATCAGTTAACATTCTCCATTTACCTGACTTTTTCTTAATTAGGGAAACTGGAGAATTCAGGGGGAAAATGTTGGAGCTATGTGCCCATTTTCCAATTGTTCAGCAACTAATTTCTCTAAAGCCTCCAGTTTTTCTTTACTTAGCGGCCATTGTTCTATCCAAATTGTCTTATCTGTTAACCATTTTAAAGGTATAGGTTCTAGAGGCTTAACAATGGCCGCCATTAAAAATTATTTCTTAATCTTTGCTGGGAACTTTGTTTTTCCTCTTGAAGCGGTTCTTTCAAACCTTGCAAATTTTTTTCTAGTCCCATACCAGGGACATACTCCATTTGATGCATCATATGTTGACTATGAGGGCTATGTAATTGTTCCAAAATTAGAACTTGTGCTCCCCATTGTTGTAATAAATCTCTTCCCCATAAATTTATAGGTACAGACGTTATAATTGGTTGAATAGTCCCAGGTTGTCCATCGGGCCTCTCACAATGCAAAATGTAACTACTTTGATATATTTCAGGGGCTTTACCAACTCCAACTATGTTAAATTGAGCGGGTTGAATTGGTCATGCGGACAGCCAGTGTGGTAGAGAAATTATTGAAATATCCGCTCCTGTATCTATCAAACCTTTCAATTTCTTTCCTTGAATAGTTATTTCACGGGTAGGACGTTTATCAGTAATTTGATTTACCCAATAAGCTGCTTTGCCTTGTTTATCTGTGCTTCCAAATCCTCCTGTTCATTTAATTTCACTTTTTCCCATTCCCACATACGGCACAATCAGGTGCTGTGCTATGTGCTCTCCTGGCTCTGCTTTCCAGGGAACAGAAGTAGATATAGCAATTTGAATTTCCCCATTGTAATCAGAATCAATGATTCCTGTAGGTATTTGTACCCCTTTTAAACTCAAAGTAGACCTTCCTAAAAGTAATCCTATTGTACCTGCTGGCAAGGGTCCACAGACTCCTACTGGGACCTTTTACAGGGGTTCCCCAGGCAGAAGGCTCACAGCCTTTGTGCAGCCTTAATCTACTGTGGCACTACCGGCTGTGGCGGGGGACAGACATTGTACAGGGGCGAGGGAATGGCCTGAGCTGGAAATGCCCTGGTTTAGAACGGGGCCCGGAACAGGCCCCTCATGGCATTTCCCGAAATCGGGTTCCCTTCTTTATCAAACTTAGAGTGATATGATTAGCTCAGTGTTTTACTTTTTAACATTTTGGACATATTTCAGGCTTAAGAGTTTTCTTTTTTCCCCTATCTGGCAGCCTGACTTGCTGATTTTTTCTACGTTTTTTTTTAGTATGACCATGCTTTCCACAGTTAAAACAAGCTCCAAGAAATGGAGTATTTCCTTTATCCACTCTCAGTCCTGCCATTGCCTGTGCCGACAAAGTAGCTTTATGCAGATTACCTCCCATACCATCACAGGCCTTGATATAATCAACTAAATGTGCTTTCCCTCTGATAGGTTGCAGAGCAGCCTGGCAATCGGGATTAGCATTGTCAAAAGCTAATAACTGCAGCACTGTATCCTGAGCAGCCGAATCTGCAATCATCTTTTTAAGAGACTCCTGTAACCGAGCTATAAAATCAACCTATGGTTCTCTAGGTCCCTGTTTTATAGCACTAAAGGAAGGGTATTGTTCCCCACCTGAAGTGATTTTTTCCCAAGCTCTAACGCACACTCCTCTAAACTGTTCTATGGCATCATCCTGCATGACCAGTTATGCATCTAAACCAGCCTAGCCGCCAACCCCCAAAAGTTGGTCTGCAGTTATATTAATTTGAGATTGGGTCTGGGCATTGCGAGCAGCCTGAATGGAAGCTTCATCTGCCCACCAAGTTTTAAATTGTAAGAACTGAGCAGGAGTTAGACAAGCTCAAGTAAGAGAATCCCAGTCAGTAGGAATCATCTGACTGGAAACAGTAACATTCTTTAACAGTCCCATTACAAAAGGAGAACCTGATCCATACTGACTTACTGCTTGTTTTAATTCTTTGAGTAATTTAAAAGGAAAAGGCTAAAATGTAGCTATAATATTTCCCTGTTGATCTGTGGGGTGTAACAGGGAACTGCCAAGCCTCTAAATCACCGTCTAGTCTAGCTTGCGGGATTCCTGCCTGCATAGAACTAAGAACCGTCGCTCGAGGCACTGCTCAAATAGTCACTTGGGCAACTACTTTTTGCCCGGCGTCCTCCGGAAAAAAAGATCTGGAGGGTCATTTTCTTCAAAATAATAAGGAGGGGGGTGCAGAAGGGTAGGGATGAACCTCTCCTTCCTTTGCTGCTTTAGCTTTAGCTGGCAAATAAACATGCTCTGTAACCTCTTCTGTTACTTTGCTGTACTCTTGTTCCTCCTCATTATCAGTGTGAAAAAGTTCCAAGGTGAAACGAACCAGACCCCATACCTGTCGCATTGTTACCCTGACGCTTCCGAGCTCCCCTTCTTACTCACCACGGGGATTGCTTTAAGAGTACTCGGGTGTCCTCCAGCTAGTTTTCCGTTCCAACCGGTGCTCCAGCGACCCTTCGACCTGGATTTGAGCCCCTATGAATGGATGCCACTTGCCGAGATCAGCTCAGTCGGGGAGACCCTAACCCAGCAGTGCTAGACGAATTAAGGACACACACACAGAAATATAGAGGTGTGAAGTGGGAAATCAGGGGTCTCACAGCCTTCAGAGCTGACAGCCCCAACAGAGATTTACCAACATACTTATTAACAGCAAACCAGTCATTAGCATTGTTTCTATAGATATTAAATTAACTAAAAGTATTCCTTAAGGGAAACGGAGGGATGGGCTGAATTAAAGGAATAGGTTGAGCTAGTTAACTGCAGCAGGAACATGCCCTTAAGGCACAGATCGCTCATGCTATTGTTTGTGGCTTAAGAATGCCTTTAAGGGGTTTTCTGCCCTGGACTGGCCAGGTGTTTCTTGCCCTCATTCCCGTAAACCCACAACCTTCCAGCGTGGGTGTTAGGGCCCTTATGAACATGTTACATGGCTGCAGAGATTTTGTTTATGGCCAGTTTTGGGGCCAGTTTATGGCCAGATTTTGAGGGGCCTGTTCCCAACACTACTTATCAAAGTCCCCTCTCTGTTCTTTCCATGAGTTTATGCTTTGTCTGTCTCTTTTGTGTCTACCAGTGGACTCTTGGCCAGTCTGCAGAATTTCTTGGTTTGTTGAATGACTAGCAAGAGTTTATAGTAATATAACTAGAATATTTTTACAGTTGAAGTGTATACCATACTAAGATTATATTCACTTCATTGAATAACATTTTTTCTAGAGTCAAAAATTGTCTATTTTTTATTTGCTTAATGATCTATGCATCCATTGTTTATTTTTTATTTTTAGAGATGGGCTCAAGGGATCCTCCCGCTTCAGCCCCTGGGTAGCTGGCACTACAGATGTGAGGCACTATACCCAGCTGTCTATGCATCTATTTTTAACTCTTTCACAAACTCTCCATTAGAGCTATAAAATATCTCTTGGTCTGGTCACATGAACCAGGTCATTTACCAGTGTCTTTTTTATTTTTTTCTTGGCAACATCCCTCCTTAGACTCATTCTCTGCTCCAAACTCCTCTGCTTGGCCTTGCTTCACAGCTCTCATCCTGGGATTAGGAACCTAACCACATTCTGGGGATTCTCTTCTTGTTTCTTCTGTGCCAAATGCCCTGTTCACTGGAGCTTATGTTTTTCTGTTCTTGGTTTATTCTCTCATTTTGGAGGAGTACATTCTCCACTAACTCCCCAGAAGGGATTCATGGAAGGTGAATTTTTGAGTCCTTGCTTGTCTAAAAATGACTTTATTTTCTTTCATCCTTGAGTGACAGATTTCCACGTTGGAAATTATTTTCCCTCAGAAGTTTAACGGCATTGATTCATTGTCATCTAGCTTCTCATGTGGCTACTCTTGAGGAGACTAATTTATTCTGACTTCTGTTACTTCCCGTATATTTTGTTTGTTAATTTGTTTTTGGAAGCTTTTAGGATATTTTTCTCCTTTATCCTTGATGTTCTGAACGTTCATAATAAACCATCTTGTAAGTATTTTTCATTCATTATGCCAAGCACTCAGTGGCCCCTTTCAATGAGGAAACATAGTCTTCAATTCTGGGAAACTTTCTCTGTGATCAGTTTCTCTTTTTTTTTTTTTTTTTAACAAATAGAGACAGGGTCTCCCTATGTTGGTCAGGCTGGTCTTGAACTCCTGGTTTCAAGTGATCCTCCTGTCTCTCAGCCTCCCAAAGTGCTTGGATTACAGGCATGAGCTGCCACACCCAGTCAGTTTCCCTGTTTTTAAATTTTTCTTCATGTTCCATTTCCTGGTTTTGTTTATTCTGCTTTACAAGAGATTTTCCTGAGCTTTATTTCCTGGTTCTTCTATTGAATTTTTTCATTTCTGCTACAAAAATGTTAATTTCCAAGAGTTTTTCTTTGATCCCTGACTTTCCTTTTGGGTAGCCTCTTGCTCTTATGTTGTGGATTCAGGATCTTCTCTTATTTCATATTTCTGAGGATTCCAGTTGTAATTTTCTGCTGTTTTCTTCTGTTTCCTAGATTGTCTCTGTTGTTTATTTTGATCTCTGGCTTTCAAGTTGGAAGAAAACTCAGACAATAACAGATACCATTGAGTATCAGCCCCTATTTTAAGTATTTTGCATGTTGAAGTATTTTGCATGTTTTAGCTAATTGAATCCTTACAACAACCCCATAAGGTAGAGCCAGGCCCTGGTCCCTCCCATCTCAAGCCTGGAAGGTTCGCAGTTGAGAATCAGCTTTCTTCTTGCTGATGTCAAGGGTTGATGTCAGGAACCCTTTACCTGATGTTTCCCCCAATCCTGCCTCGCTCTGCAGGCACCTGGGTTAGAATTCAGTTTTTCCTAGATCTGTTACTAGTCAGCCCTCTGCTTTCCTTCATTAAAAACATGTATTGACATCTCTATTGCACAGTTTGTCCTTATAGGCTTTTCCTTTTGCACTCCAAGATTGTCATTTTAGTTCATTTTGGGAGGTAACAGAGATAAGCATTTGTGTTCAATGAGCCATGTTTATTTAACTGGAAATCCAGAGCTCTGTCTCCCTCTTTAAGTCAGGAAGCATACAGACCAAAAAAATTATAGTGATTATTACTAGATTCTGGGATTATGGTTAAGAGTGATATCTTTATCTATGTCTGCAGCTATTTTTCTCACTCATAGAGTTAGAAGTCTAAAAATCACATTTCAGATAAGAAACTCATTTTATGATGTGATTTAGACTGATAAAATGCTTCTTGAGAAAGCAGTAAAAATATTAATTATGACAAGTTATAAATTGGTACAATTACTTTGGAAAACAATTTAGTATCATCTATAACCTGGCAATACCACTTCTAGGTATATATTCTCAGGAACGCAAAAGTATTGAGGACCTCAGAGAGCTTCAGTTTATGAGTTATATTTTTTGAAATTTTCCATGTTAAAAATTAAAACATGACTAGGTGTGGTGGCTCACGCCTGTAATCCAGCATTTCGGGAGGCCAAGGTGCGAGGATTACTTTAGGCCAGGAGTTTGAGACCAGCCTGGGCAACACAGTGAGACCTCATCTCTATAAAAACATTTTTAAAAATAGCTGGGCTTGGTGGCATGCACCTGTAGTCCTAGCTACTAGGGAGACTGAGGCAAGAGGATCACTTAAGCCTAGGAGTTCAAGTAAGCTATGATTATGCCTTTGCACTCCAGCCTGGGCAACAGAGCTAGACCCTAGCTCTAAAAAAAAAAAAAAAGTGAAAACTGAGAAAAATTAAATATAATTATTACTTCTTTTAAAAATAAAAATAATACACAAATTACAATCAACAAAACATGTATTTATGAAAAGCAACTTTTTTGATACAAAAATATTACTGAGAAGAGTAGCACTAAAGCAACTTTTTTGATACAAAAATATTACTGAGAAGAGTAGCACTGCTTTATATAAATCGTTTTTTAAAAATTAACTAATTAATTTTTTTTTTTTTTAAGACGGAGTCTCACTCTATTGCCCAGGCTGGAGTGTGGTGGTGTGATCTCGACTCACTGCAACCTCCACCTCCCAGGTTCAAGCAATTCTTGTGCCTCAGCCTCCTGAGTAGCTGGGATTATAAGCGTGTGCCACCATGCCTGGGTAATTTTTGTATTTTTAGTAGAGACAGGATTTCGCAATGTTGGCCAGGATGGTCTTGAATTCCTGACCTCAGGTGACCCGCCTAGCTCAGCCTCCCAAACTGCTGGGATTACAGGCATGAGCCACCATGCCCTGCCCTAATTAATTTTTAATTGACACATATGGTACATATTTATGGGGTACAGAGTAATATTTTGATATATACAATGTGTAGATCAGATCAGGGTCATTATCGTATTCATCATCTCAAACATTTATCATTTCTGTGTTTTGGGGACATTCAATGTCCTTTCTTCTTTATTTGAAACTACATAATATATTATTGCTAACTATGGTCATCCTACAGTGCTACAAAACACTAGAAGTTGTTCCTCCTACCTAGCTGTAATTTTGTGTTATTGAAGAAATCTCTCCCTATCCTCCCCTTCCCTCTCCAGCCTCTAGTAACCTCTATTCTGCTTTTCACTTCTATGAGATTAAGTTTTTCTTTTTTTTTTTTTAACATCTAACTATGAGTGAGAACGTGTGGTGTTTAACTTTTTGTGCCTGGCTTATTTCACTTAACGTAATGTTTTCTAGTTCCATCCATGTCACTTTGAATGATGGGATTTTATTCTTTTTAATGGCTATAAATATTTTAGATGTCTGGCTTAATAGAAGACAGTTGTATTCTCAAGCCAGCTATATCTTTCAATCTGCTGCAGTATGTTTTGTGGTTGAAGTGTACGCAATTGGAAAAGGAGCATTTCAATAGCTTTTTCAGATAATCGTGGATATTCTTTGATAAGACACCAAAACTCAGCAAGTGGAAGTTTTTTAAAGCTTAGTTATGACATGAAATCTGAAACCATAGCAATGACCTTTTTATACTCTATTACAGCAACACTCACAGTTTTTTCTTGCATTTTGAATGAATGTTTTACCCATGCAGGGTTTTGTCAACACACCCATTGATCATTTGGAAATTGCTGGGTCGCTGAGTTATGCAGATCTTCTAAATGTTGACACATTTCATTATGCAACATCAAAAAATCACATTTATTTATTTATTCTGAGACAGAGTCTCGCTCTGTCACCCAGGCTGGAGTGCAGTGGCACGATCTCGGCTCACTGCAAGCTCTGCCTCCCAGTTTCACGCCATTCTCCTGCCTCAGCCTCCCGAGTAGCTGGGACTACAGACATGTGCCACCATGCCCAGCTAATTTTTTGTATTTTTAGTAGAGACGAGGTTTCACTGTATTAGCCAGGATGGTCTCAATCTCCTGACCTCGTGATCCGCGCCTCAGCCTCCCAAAGTGCTGGGATTACAGGCGTGAGCCACTGCGCCCGGCCAGAAAATCACATTTCTTAATATCAATACCAATCTCATCAGAAAAGTCTTTTGCTATCGTGAGGGTATCAAGCCCATAACAGCACATAAAAATTTTCCAAAATTCTAATTTTTGCTCAAAAGATTGAATTTTCTCATTGACAACAAACACTGTCAATTGCTTTTCTTGAAGTGACAGGTGCACTTGACTCATCTGGAGAAAATGCCTGCCAAATACCCAAGGCTAAATAATGATACTTTGTCTTTCAGCTGTACTTTCAGGTAAGAATGGTGCTCCATGAGTCAAGTGATTACTTCAGCTCACAATCACTTAAGGTTTTTTCCTCGAGAAAGTCATCATAGCTTGATATGCAGCGTAACTGTTTACGCATCCTTCCCATTTTGTCACACAAAGTATTAAAAAAATGTGTATCTAAGAGTTGAGGTTTAATAAAATGTGTAACTTCTACTACAGTTTGGTGCCACTTGCTGATTTGTGCTAGCTGTTTTACCCACTATTGCTTTTGCAGTGTCCTTGAAGATGTCAACACCATGAAGAAGGCAAATAACATCTTTATTGTGATGAATGTAGTTTTAACCTGGCTGATAGGGCCTCAGGGACTTCCAGGGTTCGTGGACCACACATTAAGAACTGGTGCTCTAGAGAAATTCTTGCATATATGAGCAGGAAATATCTATCAAGAATGTGCAGGGCAGTACTGTTTATAAAAGCAAAAGCCTGGAAACAACCCACATTTCTATCATTAAGGGACAAGAGAAACTGTTGGTAGATTTATATAATGGTCTACTATATAGCAGTGAATGACTATCCAGGTGAAACAACCTGGATTAATTTCAGTGTCTTAATTTGTACACCCCCAGAACAGAGTGTGAGGTGTGAGACAAGTCCTTCAGTTCAAGAGTGTATTCAGGAAACAGAAATGGGAGTGAGCAAAAAAGGAAGAAAAGTCAATAAAAGGTGCAGTATGGAACTACTTACCACTCTGAACACTGTGCTCAATCCCATTGGGAACACTCGGAAGAATCACATCGAATACAGCTCAGAGCTGAAGGTGCAAGGCTGGAGCATTTTGTCTTGACTCCTCTCACTGTTGTTTATATCTCCGAGGTGTTGTGGGCCACCACAGATGTCTGCTAGACCCAAAAGCTAATGTTGAATAAAAAGGGAATCATTGGGAATTATGTACAATGGGCTCCATCTTTATAAAGTTCACACGACATAAAAATGTATAAGGTATTGTTAGTGATATAATTATGAATATATAGTTAAGGATATTATGAAAGCAAGACAGGCGGGAAGCATTTATCACATGTTGAAAAACAACAAGCTTGCTTGTCAGAAGGCACATGTCAGGGTGTAGCTGGAGATAAAGACAGTGAGTTAAAGAAGGTGGCTAATTGGTGGATGTCTTTGAAACCAATCTTCCAATTTACTCTGATTTGAAAAGTAAAGGGGAAGGTTTTCAGAAAGAATGTGATAGGATCAAAATGCATCAAAGGGAATTACTATTGGCAGCATTGGAGGAAAAGGGAGCAGAGGGGCAAAAGTCCCTTATACCCAGTCAGTCATACTCAGTGGTTCCCTCACTTCTGGGAGCCTCCTCTTTGCTCTGTTCTTTTATCAGAGGCAGACAGACAGGGTGTGGCTTGCTGGTTTACAGGGACAGCTAGAAGGGAGTTCTGTGGGGGCAGAGAGAGCCCTGGCCTCTCACATTTCATAAAATATGAACTTTTCCTGGCCCACATCCCTAGGCCTTCCTGATGCACCTGCCTGCTCCCTGGTCTCGCTGCATGGGGAAGGAGAGTTCCCAGCTTGTAAACTCCAGCTTTGCCTGTGAGAGGAACAAACATCCCTGATCCAGAAGGTGGTGAGTTCTCCCCTCTCTCTTCATGCTTTTTAGTCCTTTAACTTTCTCAGGATCCTCAGGTTCAGTAGAGAAATAATCCCCTTTTCTCCCTACACACAAGAACATTTTGAAGGGCGAAATGGGCCAGCTGTTAGCTATCACTAAAGAAACACAGAAGGAGACAAGTGACAAGAGAGCTGGACGGGTTTTGTTGAAGGACTCTTATTTAAGTAGTATTGTCATCATTATTAAACTACAGCCAGCATTTATTTAGCTCTTACTATTTGCTGGACCCTGTGCTGTATGCTTTTAGACTGATCATTTGCAGATTTGCAGGGTCGTATTAAACTGCTTGGGATTGTCAAGAGAACATTGTTACAATCTTTTTTCTGATTTAGAAGTTTTAAAAATTAAACTGTTTCAAACTTCAAATGTAAATAACTGCCTAGGGGAAAATGTTTCCAACATGTGTAGTGGAAAAAAAAATGGTTAGTGTATGAAGAATTTTGCAAGCCATTAAGAGATAAATGTCCTAATAGAAAAAAGAACAAATTACATAGACAGGTAATTGACAAAGTCCAAATAACAGGTGAGTAATCAAAGAAATACAAATTGAGATGAAACACCATCAAATTAAAAAAAAAAAAGAGATGGCATTTTGTTACTCATCAAATTTGCAAATTTTTTTTTTAAATGATAATATCCAGTGATGGTAAGGTTGTGGGAAAACAAGAAATTTCATATGATACTTTGGTAAATTGATATGACTTTCTGGAGGGCAATTTGTCAGTGCAGATGAAAAGTCTTCCCATTTTAAAGATGGGAAACTCAAGGCCTAAGAATCTAAGTGACTTGCTTAAAGTTACAAAGTCACAGCTGGGCGCGGTGGCTCATGTCTGTAATCCCAGCACTTTGGAAGGCCGAGGTGGGCAGATCATGAGGTCAGGAGTTTCAGACCATCCTGGCCAACATGGTGAAACCCAATCTCTACTAAAAATACAAAAATTAGCTGGGCGTGGTGGCGCACGCCTGTAGTCCCAGGTACTCGGGAGGCTGAAGCAGGAGAATTGCTTGAACCTGGGAGGCGGAGGTTGCAGTGATCTGAGATCGTGCCACTGCACTTCAGCCTGGCGGCAGAGCGAAACTCCGTCTCAAAAAAAAAAAAAAAAGTTACAAAGTCACAGAGCAGTAAGGGACCAAGCCAAGACTAGGACTAAGCCCTCTGATTCTAGCCCTCAATCCACTGCCACTTATAGCAATGTTTATAACAGCCATGTATTGGAAAACAACCTAAATATACACAATATAGAATTATTTTAAAGCTTTTACATCTTATATCCTAATTTCTAAAATTCTGTGTCCATGATGGAATCCTAAAGTCATGGAAAGAAGATTTGATTGCTTTGGGAAATGCACATAATGTTGCATTATGTGAAATTGGTGAAAATATCAGGTATCAAAACAGTGTATAAGTATTTATTTATTTATTTAAGACAGGGTCTTGCTCTCTCATCCAGACTGGAGTGCAGGGGTACGATCATGGCTTACTGCAGCCTCAACCTCCTGCGCTCAGGTGATCCTCCTACCTCAGCCTCCCAAGTAGCTGGGACCACAGGCACACACACCATAGCCAGCTGATTTCTTTTTGTATTGTTTGTAGCAATAGGGGTTTGCCATGTTGCCCAGGCTGGTCTCAAACTCCTGGGCTCGAGCAATCTTCCCGCCGCTGCCTCTCAAAGTGCTGGGATTATAGGCGTAAGCCATTGTGCCCAGTCATGGTTTTTTTTTTTTTTTTACAAAATGTTATGTACATGCATAGAAATAATATTTGTAGAAACATTATCTTTGGGTGGAGGAATTACAGATGATTTGAAATTTTTGTCTTTGTTTTGGATCATTTCCAGATTTTCCTACAATAAGTAAGACAGAAAAAGCCCCAAGCTGTGGCATATACATTGAACTTTAGGAAGTGAAATCATATTTTATATTTGTTGGGGAAAATGTCTTTGTAAAGGGGTTCCATGATAATCACTCTGTAAAGTGAGGTGGTCATTTGCTCATTTTGTGACTCATGATACAGGGCTATGCAGGCATGCATTCATTCATCTGTTTATTCATTATGAATGAATGTTATTCATGCATCTGTTAATGTTTTACATTCGATCTGCTTCCAGAAAGGATCCTGGCAATTCACTTGCACGGTACCCTGAAGTGTGTATGATTGCCTTTCCTGTTCTAAGTGTAAAACAGAATAATACCTACTTTTCTGAGACGTTGTCAGTACTGAAGACAATATATAGAGAGAACCAACAAATGCAATAAATAAGAACTGTTATTGATTTAGAGCAATATCATCATTTGGAAACATATTTATGATTTAGTGTTAATTCACAGCCATTAATACTATGTTGACTACCATAATATTGATATATTACGTGTTAGAAGAGATGGAGGAAGGGGCCATCCTGGCAAACTAGATTAGAAGAATAAATCCTAGAGGTCAGTATGGTGACCAGATGGTTCTTACATCTGTGTAAGAAAATATGAAATAAAGGACCTGGTAGCATGTCTTACATAGAGTGACAATCTAACAGAAGGACTTCATTTGGTTTTTATTTCCAGCATCTGGTGCAAATCATTTTACATGTGTTTTCTTTGATCCCTACTATAACCCTATCTATGAGGTAGGTACTATTATTAACTCCATTTCATGTGCGAGCAAGAGGAGGTTTGGAGAAGTAAATTAACCTGTCTAAGGCCACCAGCTAGGAAATGGCGGAGCCAGGAATTGAACCCAGGCTGACTCTAGAGCTCATTCTTTTTATTTATTTATTTATTTTTTTGAGACAAGGTCTTGCTCTGTCACCCAGGTTGGAGTGCAGTGATACAATCACAGCTTACTGCAGCCTCAACCTCCCAGGCTCAAGTAATTCTCCCACTTCAACCTCCTGAGTAGCTAGGACTACAAGTGCGTGCCACCATGCCAAGCTAATTTTCTTCCATTTTTTGTAGAGATGGAGTCTCACTATGTTGCCCAGGCTAGCCTGTAACTCCTGAGCTCAAGTGATCCTCCTGCCTTGGCCTCCCAAAAGTGCAGGGTTATAGGCATGAGCTACCATGCCCAGCCTAGAGCTTACCCTCTTAACCACTTCATAGATTGTCTGAATCTTAGAATATGGGTCCATAGAGGTCTCCTCCTATTCGATTTCAGGCAGCCTTGGGTTAGCTTGGAGCTCTGTGTCACTCCGGGCATGTCTACCCAGGCAGGGTGTGCTTCAGAGTCACTAGAAAGTTGAGGGGTTTTGGGAATAACTCCAGGGAATCCTGGGCCCTACTTCCACCTTCAACCATACTTGATAAAATAGAGAGCTGTTCTCATTTACTCCACTTCTCTTGTCCAGTTTTTGAGTGGCTGGTAACCAATAGGAAAGTGGGTGGGACAGTCACAAAAAAATGTGTCCTAATGTGATCCTAACCTCACTATGGCCTAGTACTATGTTGTCATTTGATTAGAGGGGTATGTTGTATAAAATATGATTTAAAGAAAGACAAGAACAACCCTAAACCAGTGTGCTTTTTGCCGTGAGAAAACAGAATTGGGTTTTCAAAATGAGAATGTGTTCAATACTAGCTTCATCTTCAGTTTCCCAATCTCCCTTTGACACGTCCTCTGTGTGCCATGACCTTTTCCATGACCTTCAGGGACTGGGCCTGCTGACTTATACAAAAGCCTCCTCTTTGGAAAGGATTTGAACCTTGGAGAGAATTTAAGAGATGAGTTGCCTTTTCCTAGAGCATTTACATTTTAAACTTTATCCTCACTTGTGGCATGAGAGATTCTGTTTCCTGCTAAAGCAATTTCAGGCAGTAGCAAATAGGTGGGGAAAGAGCTTTACAGGAGGAAATCCTTTAGGGTCTCCCTGTGATTCATGCACGCAGTCATCTGAACCTGCTAGGGATAATTTTCCTCACTTAGTTAGTAGTAATAACAACAACTACACACTTATGAGCACTTGTTCTGCCAGGCATTTGTGGCCAGTGCTTGGCAGGCAGTATCTCTTTGAACCCTCACACTCATCTGTGAGGACAGTTCCCCTTTATAGATTAAGAACCCGAGGCCCAGAGATGTTATGCAACCTTCCTAGGGACACAAAGCTAGTAATAGGCAGAGCTAAGATTTGAACCCAGGTCTTTCTAGTGCCAGACCCTGAATTTGTACGATTAATGCCTTCAGGATGACATGGAGGGGCCTCACTGCCTTGATCTGTTATTTGTCAAGAGTCAAACTTGAAAAGGCTGTCCAGGGAAACCTCCAGGCTGCATCTTGGGCAAAGATTGGCTTGAAACAGGCACTTCCCAAGCCTGGCCTTGGACACTAACTGTAAAAAGAGGCCATTACTGGTGTTTCTTTGGTTAGTTCTGGGTATAAGTTCTGGATCCTCATGCATCTCATCTGCACCGTCATCCTCACTCACGGCATTTAGAGACTTAACACGCCAGCCTCCGTGTGAGCATTCACCTCTTTCAACCCTCACCATAATCCCACAAGGAGGCACAGTTCTTATACCCATTTTGGAGATGAAGAAACACAGTCTCAGAGAAGTTCAGTCACAATATCACAAGAAGGTAAGTAGCAGTGCTGGGACTGGAGCCCCTGCCTTTGTGATCCCAGAGCACCAGCAATACCGTCTCGGCCTCGGCTCCTGGGTTATACCCTCTGTCACGCCAAGCCCATCAGCCCGCCTGTGCTGTCTCCCTCTGTCTGTCCTAGTTCGGATGCAGATGGCGAGTTCTGCTGGCTCCTGGCTCTCTGGCTGCCTCATTCCTCTCCTCTTCCTCCGGCTGTCTGTGCATGTGTCAGGTAGGAGTTTCTGATCCTCTTTCCCTGCCTGGTACATGTGACGTTGGCATCCCCAGAATAAAGAAGCTTGGTTGGAAACATTACGTCTTTTGGGGTTCTGTTCCCCCGGCCCTGGCAATCCTTTCCAGAGTCCTTCCTGGGCTCTGTCAGTCCCCGGGATACCCGCTTCCTCATCCTTTCCCAAGCTTTCTCCTGCCCTCCCTCCCAGTTGGCCTTGTCTCTTTCTTTGTCCAGGCCGCGCAGGGGATGCCAGCAAGTTCCACGTGGCCTTACTAGGGGGCACAGCCGAGCTGCTCTGTCCTCTCTCCCTCTGGCCTGGGACGGTGCCCAAGGAGGTGAGGTGGCTGCGGTCCCCATTCCCGCAGCGCTCCCAGGTTGTTCACATGTTCCGGGATGGGAAGGACCAGGATGAAGATGTGATGCCGGAATATAAGGGGAGGACGGTGCTGGTGAGAGATGCCCAAGAGGGAAGTGTCACTCTGCAGATCCTTGACGTGCGCCTTGAGGACCAAGGGTCTTACCGATGTATGATCCAGGTTGGAAATCTGAGTAAAGAGGACACCGTGATCCTGCAGGTTGCAGGTTAGAATGGGTTTGAGGTGCCTAGGGTCATTTGTGGCAGTTGGACAAGCCCAGTCAGGACCTACTTTGTCTCTCCATGTCTAGACTTTTTTTCCATTTGCAATGTAGTTTTTACTTGCCAGGACGGCTCAGCCTTACCCAGCCATGTCCATTGATCTCAGCTGAAGCGGTGAAGCTGGCCCAGGCATTTCTAATAAGGAAGGAACTCAGACTTTGGAAAACACTGTACAATGCAGGTCCTGGTTAAATAGGGCTTGGAGGATCAGATAATAGCTTTTCCTCCCTGGGTCATCTTTGTATGCTCCACTATCAAGGAACTCATTACATGGCTGTAAGGAAATGTCTTCAAGGGACAGATCCCCTGCTGTGACAAGGATTTACTTAATGGGTCCTCTCCTGGGGTTCCTGAGAACGTAAAGGGTTAGGAAGGGAAAGACAGTGTTTGTCTCTCTCTGTCTCTTTTTTTTTTCTGTTTGTTTGTTTTGAGACAGGGCCTTGCTCTGTTGCCCAGGCTGGAGTGCAGTGGTGCAATCATAGGTCACTGTAGCCTCGAGCACCTGGGCTCAAGTAATCCTGCCATCTCAGCCTCCCAAGTAGCTGGGACTACAGGTATACTACTATGCCTGGCTAATTTTTTTTTTACTTTTAGTAGAGACAGGGTCTCCCTATGTTTCCTAGACTGCTTTCCAATCCAGCAATCCTCCCCGCTTGGCCTCCCAAAGTGTTGACATTACAGGTATAAGCCACTGCACCCAGTTGAGAGTGTTCTCAAACTAGCTTCAATATTTTTTTAAAAAATAGCCTACTGAAAATCAGTCCACCAAAAATCAGTCTACCAATATTTTAAAAAATCAGTCTACCAACCCAAACCCAACTCAACCCAACCCAAAACATGTCTTTGCATTTGCTTGAATGACACTGGCTTCACATGGTCACATGCTGATTATCTTTTGGTCCTAATTTGAAGTTGCACACTATGAAGTGGGGATGAATCAATTACTTTAAAACACTCAGTAGTTGGTAGACAGACTTTCCAAAGTTGGAGTCCTTTGGGGTGAAAAGTAATTTTTTTTTTTTTTTGAGATGGAGTTTCGCTCTTTTTGCCCAGGGTGGAGTGCATTGGCACAATCTTGGCTCACTGCAACTTCGCTTCCTGGGTTCAAGTGATTCTCCTGCCTTAGCCTTCTGAGTTAGCTGGGATTACCGGTGCCTGCCACCACGGCCGGCTAATTTTTCTTTTTTCTTTCTTTTTTTTTTTTGGAGACGGAGTTTCGCTCTCGTTGCCCAGGCTGGAGTGCAATCTCGACTCACCACAACCTCCGCCTCCGAGGTTCAAGCGATTCTCCTGCCTCAGCCTCCTGAGTAGCTGGGATTACAGGCATGTGCCACCACGACTGGCTAATTTTTGTATTTTTAGTGGAGACGGGGTTTCTCCATGTTGGTGAGGCTGGTCTCAAACTCCCAACCTCAGGTGATCCACCCGCCTCGACCTCTCAAAATGCTGGGATTACAGGCATGAGCCACCATGCCCGGCTGAAAAGTAATTTTTAAAAGGGGACTGAGATGCCCAAAGGCATCTGAATCATGTGATATAGTTATTGCTATGGGTGAATTTTTAAATGTCTGAGAATAAAGCTAGAGACTGGCTTATCCTACTGGGAGGAGTGTGGGGAGAGGGTGGAGAGAGGACAGACATTCAAGTTTCATTAACAGCTGCCCCTGTTCATCACAGGAGGTTATGGGGGAAGAGGGCTCTGGCTGGGACCACACCCTGGCGGAGGCCCTGCTGATGTGTAGATAGGTGGGATGGTTCCCAGAGCCCTGGGCCAAGTGGAGAGAACCTCAAGGCAGGGTACTTCCATCCCTGTCAGAGGCCCACTCTCTGGAAAACCTGGGCTCTTCCAAACAGCGGTGTCTAGCAGAGTCAGGGACAGCACACCGGGGAATGTGTCCTGAACCATCCGCAAAATGGCCTTTGGCCAAGAGAAGACCACAGCCGCGGTCATAGCAAGTAAAAGCTGGGGCAGAAACAGGTTTGAAGGTGCTGGTGGTTCCAGAGGAAACTCCTACCCTAGTAGGAACTTTTTGAGGAATTTTCAGTTTTTTATATTCTAGGAATAAAGCATGTATATTGTAGAAAATTTGAAAAAAATCCAAAATATTTAAAGGAAACTGAAAAATGGCCTATTAATAGCTTAAATTAGAGAGGACGGCTGCTAACATTTTTGTATCTTTCTTGCAAGACTTTATTGTGTATATGTATCTCTGAGCATGTACATGTTTATGCATGTGTATTCTTGTGCCCAGGATTTTTTTCCACTTACGATGTCATGAGCATTTGTGTTTTTTTGCCCATGTCCCTAAGTAATATGATTTTAAGGGCTGCATAGTATTTTACCATGTGGCTATAGAATAATAAAATTAATCAAAGCCCTGTTTTGGGGCATCTGGATGCTTTCCAAATTTTCCTCATATTATAATTAAGAGTGCAATGAACATCTTTGAGCATATTTTGGAAAGTGATTTTGATTTTTTTTTTTTTTAGAATGTGCTTCTGGAAGTAGAATTAATGGATCAAAGGGTTCAAACCTTTTATTTATTTTTTCTTTTTTATTTATAATAAAGATGAGGTCTCACTATGTTGCCCAGGCTGGTCTCAAACTCCTGAGCTGTAGTGATCCTCCTGCTTCAGCCTCCCAAAGTGCTAGGATTACAGGTGTGACTCACCACACCTGGCCTGAACCTTTCAATGATCCTTGAAACAAACTGGAGACCAGCCTGGCCAACATGGCAAAACCCTGTCTCTACCAAAAAAATAGGGCATGGTGGCATGTGTGTGTAATCCCAGCTACTTAGGAGGCTGAGTGCTTTATATGACTGATCTCTTTAAATCTCTCCAAACTTCAGAGATAAGGAGTCCTGTCATGCACACCTTTTACAGATGAGGGACACTGGGCTTGGAGGGGCTCAGTCTCCTGCTTCAGGTCACACAGTATTGAGCAAGGACACACTCTCGGCTTAGGCTCTTAACCACTTCTACCCATAGCCCGCTTCTGCTCATTTCTTCTCTATTTCTTCTTTCTTTTCCCCTTTCTCTCCTGCCTAGGCTTCAGGCCTACTGCTGTAGCATGGTAGAAATTGCTTTGCCCCTGTCACAGTGCTCAGGGCAAACAAAGAGGTTGCCGCCTGCTCTTCTAGCGCAGAGTGGCTATTGACAGGCGTAAACAGGCAGGCGCTCCTGGGAAGACTGCAGGTGCGTAGTGAGGAGAATGCCTTCAGTCTTCTGAAGTCCCTGGCTTCTTTTTCCATGGAATTATAGGGCAGGACGAGATTGTGGTCAAGAAGTTTGTTTAAGTCATCATCTTGAGGCAGGACCATCAAAACCATTCCCGAGAGAGGAACATCTCAGTTATCTTTTTTTTTTCTTGAGACGGAAATTCACTCTTGTCACCCAGGCTGGAGTGCAATGGCGTGACCTTGGCTCACTGCAACCTCTGCCTCCCGGGTTCAAGGGATTCTCCTGCCTCAGCCTCCTGAGTAGCTGGGATTACAGGCGCCCGCCACCACACCTGGCTAATTTTTTCTTTTTTTGAGACAGAGTCTTGCTCTGTCACCCAGGCTGGAGTACAGTGGTGCCATCTCGGCTCACTGCAAGCTCCGCCTCCCGGATTCACACCATTCTCCTGCCTCAGCCTCCCAAGTAGCTGGGACTACAGGTGCCCGCCACCACACCTGGCTAATTTTTTCTCTTTTTGAGACAGAGTCTTGCTCTGTCGCCCAGGCTGGAGTACAGTGGTGCCATCTCGGCTCACTGCAAGCTCCGCCTCCCGGATTCACACCATTCTCCTGCCTCAGCCTCCCAAGTAGCTGGGACTACAGGCGCCCGCCACCATGCCTGGCTAATTTTTTGTATTTTTAGTAGAGACGGGGTTTCACTGTGTTAGCCAGGATCTCATGACCTTGTGATCTGCCCGCCTTGGCCTCCCAAAGTGCTGGGATTACAGGCATGAGCCACCACACCTGGCCCCCACACCTGGCTAATTTTTGTATTTTTAGTAGACACGGAGTTTCCCTACATTGGCCAGCTAGTCTTGAACTCCTGATCTCAGATGATCCTCCTGCCTCTGCCTCCCAAAGTGCTGGTATTACAAGTGTGAGCCACCATTCCCAGCCTCAGTTATCTTTAATGCCATCCAGGGCTTGAGTTACCACGAGAAGCAAAGAGCCTCTTGGCTGGAGGTCTCTCCCTAGAGGTGATGGAGACAGTTGGGATGTGCCGGAGCCACCTGCCATCTGAGACGTGCCAGAAACTCTTGGACAGCTCCCTGATGTCAGTCGTTGGTGGTTTCTGTTTCAGCCCCATCTGTGGGGAGTCTCTCCCGCTCAGCAGTGGCTCTGGCTGTGATCCTGCCTGTCCTGGTACTTCTCATCATTGCGTGCCTTTGCCTTATCTGGAAGCAAAGAAGATCAAAAGGTAATTAAGTGGTAAGGGAGCTCAGGCTGGTGGGAAGTGGGACTGTGACTGCTCTGGGAAAGGGCCAGACGGAAGTAGATGTAGACATGACACTTGTCCATAGGTTGGGGACCCTGCAAGCTGGCTGGGAGAAAGCTGGTAGAGCCGTGCCCTGGGGACACACATTGCAAAGGGAGTTCAATAAACTGCAGAAAGGCCCCTGGGCAGAGCTGTAAATTCTCATCCTTTGAAAAATTAGAAAATAACCGACTATGCCAGCCTTCTGATTAAGAAATTAATTACAGCCTTTTAATAAAGAAATCCAATTATATCCATTGGATAAGACTCTCATAAAAAATGGTCACATTTCACAGGCTCTCAGGGCTGCAAGGGACTTTGAAAGTCATAGTCACATAATCCAACACTCCTCCCCTTATCTGATGGTTTGAAGACTCTGTAATCCTTTCAAATGCCGGCTTACCTGTAGTGACAAGGAGTCAGTCCTACTCAGGCAGCTTGGTGCATCTTGGGACACTTGTGCCTGTTAGAAAAAGGCCTTCCTAAGCTGAACTGACATTTCTCTCTCCCTTTTAGAGAAACTTCTCTATGAACATGTGACGGAGGTGGGTAAGTGTTCTTGGCTGGGGGCAGGGGAAATGTTTATTTTGTTGTTAATTTCTGTACCCCCATACTCACTAACCTGGATTCTGTTCCTGAAAATTCCATTATCTGCTATCCTTGGTGATGGTGGCAATGTCTAAATCCATTGCTTCCAGTGTTTACTGCCTCTTTTTTTTTTTTTTTTTTTTTTTTTTTGAGACGGAGTCTCGCTCTGTCACCCGGGCTGGAGTGCAGTGGCCGGATCTCAGCTCACTGCAAGCTCCGCCTCCCGGGTTCACGCCATTCTCCTGCCTCAGCCTCCCGAGTAGCTGGGACTACAGGCGCCCGCCACCTCGCCCGGCTAGCTTTTTGTATTTTTTAGTAGAGACGGGGTTTCACCGTGTTAGCCAGGATGGTCTCGATCTCCTGACCTTGTGATCCGCCCGTCTCAGCCTCCCAAAGTGCTGGGATTACAGGCTTGAGTGTTTACTGCCTCTTACTTGTAATAGCTTGCCTTCCTGTATGTTTAATGAATTTTGCCTGTGAGCTCATTGCTTGATCTTATTCTGTGGGAGTTGAGTAGGTTGAACATGAGGGAAGCTTTTATTTGTTCAACAAATACTTGATAATTATCTGCTAAATGCCCTGGACAATACTAGATTCTGGGGATAAAATAGTGAGTAAAAGCAGACAGAGTTTTTGCCCTCCTGGAGCTTTCAGTGTAGTCAGGGAGATGAGATGAATTAAATAGTTACACAAATAATGTGTACAAATGCTACACAAGAAAGCTCCTGGTTCTGTGAAGGCTATGACTAGAACGAGCTAACCAAGCTTGAGGGTTGAGGGTGTGAAGTTTGTCCTGAATGACTAGAAGTCATGAGTGAAGAGGGAGTGGAAAACCATCCACCGCAGAAAGAACAGCTTCAGAGAGAAGCATGGTCGGGGAAAGCAGCACTCACTGGGGAGCTGAGGAGGTGTAGGAGGGAGGGGAAAGTGGCAGGGGTGAGGCTGGGGAGCTAGGCGGGGCTGGGCCTCCTGAGGCCTGGTGGGCCACATTCAGGATTTTAGTCATTCTCAGAAGAGCAGTGGTAAAGCAACGAATGGGGATATCCAGATGGAATTGTGCTTTGAAAAACTTGGCTGGGTGCGGTGGCTCATGTCTGTAATCTCAGCACTTTGGGAGGCTGAAGAGCGTGGATCGACTGTGGTCAGGAGTTCAGGCCCGGCCTGACTAACACGGCGAAACCTGTCTCTATTAAAAATACAAAAATTAGTGGAGCAAGGTGGTACATGCCTGTAATCCCAGCTACTCAGGAGACTGAGACAGGAGAATTGCTTGAACCCCAGAGACGGAGGTTGCAGTGAGTTGAGATCGTGCCACTGCATTCCAGCCTGGGCCGCAGAGGAAGACTCTGGGTTTTTTTTTTAACTGGCTGGGCACAGTGGCTCATGCCTGTAATCCCAGCACTTTGGGAGGCCGAGACGGGCAGATCACGAGGTCAGGAGATTGAGACCATCCTGGCTAACATGGTGAAACCTTGTCTCTACTAAAAATACAAAAAAATTAGCCGGGCATGGTGGCGGACACCTGTAGTCCCAGCTACTTGGGAGGCTGAGGCAGGAGAATGGTGAACCTGGGAGGCAGAGCTTGCAGTGAGCCGAGATGGTGCCACTGCACTCCAGCCTGGGCGACAGAGTGAGACTCCATCTCAAAAAAAAAAACAAAAAACTGAACAATTCTCCCTGGCTGCAGTGTTTAGTAGAGACCAGTGGGAGTAAGACAGGATGTGGGAGACAATTTGGGCTGCCATTTCTGTTGTGCAGATGAGAGTTGATTAGAGACCAGATCAGGGAGGTGGAGGTGAAGATAGAGGTGGACACGTCCAAGGGCAGGTAAATGCAACAGGAACCAGGGACCCTCAAGGCAGTGGCAAAAAATCTCATTATCTTTTCCTTTCTTCCTCTAGACAATCTTCTTTCAGAGCATGCTAAAGAAAAAGGTAACGATATATAAAGAGTAAGGGGTAGGGAACAAAAAACACATTCTTTATTTTCTATGTAAATGTTGACAGTCATTATTATAACTCTATTACTATAATACTATACACACATGCACACATATACCCTCCATTGATATTACTGGAATTTAGTTTGCAATCTCAAGGGGCTGTGGAGCTGGTGGCAGTGGGTGAGAAGGTGTCCGGGTCAAAATTCATAGGCCTAAATTACCATAAACTCCCTTCATTAGCCTTTCCGCCAATCATTTTAAAAAGAAGTCTACTTATTATTGAAAAGTATATTAATGTGGTCATATGGGATGTATGGGAATTTCAAGAATCCACACAACCTTTGCACAGAGAGAGGTGGTATGATACAGAGGAAGGGTTGCAGGCTCTGGGGTCAGTGACACCTCAGATCATTGGTTTGCCACTTACTGGCCTTGAATAAGTCACTTTACTGCTCTGGGTTTTGGTTTCCTCATCATCAAAATGCAGATAACTTCCTCTTACTTGATTGTTTTCAGTGTTAAAACAGGCAACCTTAAAAAAAAAAAAAAAAGAAGAAAAGAAATCTGTCACAGTGCCTGGAACTCCTTTTCCTTATTGCCATTTTGTCTTCATTAATTGGACATTTACTGTGGGCCACTGAGGGTCAAAGTTGGACACCTTGTTGAAGTCTATCTGGGAAGACAAGTCACTGGCTCAGATGACTCCAGATTCAATTATTTCAGCATCTCCTCTCTTCCCTCCTTACATCTCCTCCAACCCGGTACAAGTGTGGCATGTATCTGGCAGACACTGGCTGTTCTGCTCAAGTAGGGAGGGAACAATGTGGGGTGAGGGCGAGGGCCTCCGACTCAGAAGTCAGACAGACTTAGATTGAATCCCACCTCCTTGGTCACTTACTAGTTGAAAGACCTTGGGCAAATTTTGTGTCCCTTTGAGCCTCAGACCACCCCCCTATAAAATGGCAATAATAATTCTAGGCACCTCACATTGTTGAGGATTGAGTGCCTACTTCAGTATACGCACAGAAGACAGTAAGTGGAAGCTGTTAGTAGTGGACATAGTGACAATAAACCATAAGCTACTTAGGAGCCGTGTCATATTCGGCTGCATTTCTCCAATGCCTAATGCCTAATGCCTAATACATGCCGGGCCCTTAGCACGGGAACTGGTGGTGGACTCAGGATGTATAACTTCAATTGTCCGGCAGGGTAGGGGGAAATGTGGGCCATGTGGCCCTCCAGAGAAGCCACAAGTACTCCCCGGAAACATATGTCTCATACACATATATCCCCAAATCCTCTGGGACCTCCAATTTGTGAAATTTATAACCACAGGGGAGTTACTGTAGAGAATAATAAAGCCATATTAACAAGTTCATGCTAGGCCTTTGGCCAGTTTTACATTTAGATACCAGAAACGGTGGGCTATAAAAGGACAGCAGTGCATACACTCATGTACCAGTTACAAACCTATAGAAACACTCATGCAGACAGCAGAAATGAAACCAGACAGATGAAAAGGAGGGGAAGGGGAAGGAGGAACCAAAGTCCCGGGCAGGCTGGGTCACTGGGGGAGTGTCACCAGCACCATCAGATTTCTGGGTCTGAACTCTGGGACACGGAGCTGGGACTAGGGACATAGAAGCGTCACCATCATTTTAATCTTCTGGGGTGGAGTGATGAGGCTTCCACAGCCCGAGGAAAAAGAGGCAGGATCTGATCACTCACTCCTCTCTCTCTTTCTGGTTTTTAGGAAAACTCCATAAAGCTCTCAGTAAGTTCTGCTCCTCATCTATGGCACAAGCTCCTTCTGCTGACACCTTTGCTTTAGGATGAGCATCTCAGTTTCACTTCCTGGGGCAGAAGGGAGGGGGTAAGGGTAATTCAAGCCATGGGGACTGGGGCTTTCTTGGCTCTCCAAGGTCTCTTTTCTCAAGTGTTCTCTGCTCCTCTTTCCTACACAACTGTTATTTAGTCTTTAAATTGAAAAATGTTTCACCAAGAAGAGATAGATGCACCTCCCATAGGTGAAGCCATCTGGAAGTCCCTTTTATCACCCAGGCATGAAATTTCCTTAGATGGGGTCCAAGAGGACGGGATCCTCATTAAACTGAATATGGTGGAGCAGTACTTCTCCATCATTTCATGTGTGAGGACCTCTTTTTAGCATTAAAAAAAAATCTGGCCAGGTGCAGTGGCTCACGCCTGTAATCCCAACACTTTGGGAGGCCAAGGCAGGTGGATCACTTGAGGTCAGGAGTTAGAGACCAGCTTGACAACATGGTGAAACCCTGTCTCTATTAAAAATACAAAATTGGCTGAATGTGGTGGTGCACGCCTATAATCCCAGCTACTTGGGAGGCTGGGGCAGGAGAATCACTTGAACCCAGGAGGCAGAGGTTGCAGTGAGCCGAGATTGCACCATTGCATTCCAGTCTGAGCAACGAGAGCGAAACTCTGTCTCAAAATAAAAATAAAAATAAAAATAAAAATAAATCTGTAGACATGTGACATATCTATGCATTATTATATTGAGAAAATATACATGCTCACAAAGTCCAATACTCAGTGATAGTCTTAAATGAAGTAATATTTCCTACAACATCTACATAAATTTATGTTGTCATTACCTGTAGGTGTGAGATGTGTTACTTATTTAGCCTGCAGATAAGGTTTGGCTCACATAGGAATTTGCTGATCCTCTGCAGTATCTCTGGGGATACTCCCGTGGTCCACAGCTGGGATCTATTGCTCTTGCAAATCTTCTGGGGAAGTTCCAGGGTATGGCTATTGAGTATCTATCTGCCCGTGGTGGGGATGGGACTGTAGCATTATGGGAGGGCCTCTATATAGAGGCCCTCCTTCTGATTTGCCAAATTGTTTTCATTCTTTAGAGAAACTCCGGAGTGAACTGAGTAAGTTTCCCATGTTCTTATAACTTCCGTACCAACTTATCTCTTGTTGCCCTAATATTTCCAGTGATAGCTCATTCCCCTTGTTTCTTCTTTCATAGAGCTGAAAAGAGCTGCAGCAAACTCAGGTGAGATGCACTTCCTCCACGTTTGACCACCACCCTATAGGAGTTCTTAATGTCTCCAGTGTTTTAATGATCCCCTTTTCTCATTTTTCAGGCTGGAGAAGAGCCCGGTTGCATTTTGGTAAGTTATACCAATCAAATAGATCCACATTTCAGAGCACATCCTCCCTATGGCTTTGTAACCTTAGATTTTGTTTCATTCCTCTGGAATGCATGTAATTTAACATTTTTAAAATCAAATCTGTATATCTGCCTATCAAATTAAAAAAATCTTTGTGATCGATTTTAGGTCGTACTTAGATTTAGAAAGTATCCCCTCTTTTAGAGCGCTGATAAATATTAGGTTTGGTCTTCTTAAGGGTTTTCTGTGATTTTTGAGATTTTTCCTATGTTTATCGATTATTTGTATTTCTTCTTTGTGTGACTTTCTGTTCCTGTTCTATTTGGGCTATTTTTTTTATTTGTGAGGACTCTTTCTAGATAAAGTATATTAGCTCTCTGTCATATTTGTCACCAATTATTTTTCATTTGCATTTCCTTATAGTATTTTTCTGATGCATGAGTGTTTTATTTTTACGTAGTCAAATGCATTCATCTTTTCCTGTGTACATGCTTTCAGGTTTGGGAAGTCCTTCCTGTCCCACAACCAGATAAATAGCCACTGCTTCCACCACTTTCTACACATATGCTTTTTCTTCTTTCTCTGCAGACCAATTTGCTTAGGGGTGGTGATTAAGATTCTCAGAGAAGAAGGGAATGGGTTGAGCAGATGCCCCAACAATATACATTATGAAAAGATTTGCACCTCTCTTTCAATTTATTCCTAAATAGGTTGCATTTTTTGCTGCTGTTCAAATGGGATCTGTTTTTTTTTCACTGCTTTGGGATCTTTATCAATTTTCTAGGCTTTTATCCTTCTCTTGTTCACACCATCTTCCTTCAGGCACAGTACAACGAATTATGAGTTGGCCACTGGAAAGAACTCCAGGTCACCTTGGCTGGCATTCTGGGAACATACAAACCCTTCTGTCTCACATTTACAGTCTGGCTTATTGCCACCACCTCAACTGCGTATGGACTTAACTCTCCAAAAAGAGCCTGTTTGCTGTATTTCGGGAAGGAAGGAGACTCACTGTGACACTCATAATCCACAATTTTAAGGAAGAATCCTTCTCTCTATATTAACATTTAAAAATAATAATTTAGTCCTACCTATTTGGGAGGCTGCAGTGGGAGGTTCACCTGAGGCCAGGAATTCAATGCTGTAGTGTGTTATGACTGCATGCCCATGAATACCTACTGCATTCCATCCTGGGCAACATAGTGAGACCCTGCCTAAAATAAAATAAAATAAAATAAAAATAAAGCAGATAATTATAAGTAATAATTTTAAGTGACAAAATGAACATCATGTACTCACTGTAGGAATGAGGCACTATCTCATTAGTTCATCAAGTCTGCGCAATAGCTCTACAACACAGGTTCTGTTACTATTTCCATTTTACAGATGAGGAAACTAAGGTTCAGAGATGAATAACAAGCCCAAGGTCACATAACTAGCATGTGGCAGAGCTGGGATTCAAATATGCTATGTGGCTATAGGACCTAACATCAAACCCTATATTTATCATCACACATTTGATTCTTTTGGAACATCAAAGACAAAGGTAGTGTCTTACTCTATTTTCTGTTGCTGTAACAGAATACTTGAGACTGGGTAATTTACCTAGGAAAGAGGTTTATTTAGCCTATGGTTCTCGGGGCTGGATGGTCCAAGATTGGGTGACTGCATCTGGTGAAGGCCTTGTGCTACTTCATAGTATGGTGATAGCGGCTTCTGGAAAAACAGAAGGGCAGTGAGTGCCTGCAAAAGCAGAGAGGAGACAAAGTGCCTGATCTGCTTTATCACAACCCACTCTCCAGAGAAATAAACCCAGCCTTGTGAAAACTGTATTAATCCCTTTGTGAGGGACCCAAACACCTCCCACTAAGCCCTACCTCTGAACACTGCAGCAATGAGGGATTAAGGTTCCAACACATGAACTTCTGAGGGACACACTTAACTCACAGCAGGTAGTTATTTCCTAAGGATTAAGGCGGCTTCACAGACAGACGAAGAAGAACTTTTTCTTCTATTACCTAGTAATCGACCAGGAGACCTGTTCTTTGAAAGAGAAAATTATTTGATTCCAGTACACATGGTGGGGGCGGGAATCCGTGAACTAAAATGGGCTAATGACAGTGATGGCAGACCTAAATATTTTTTTTCCCTCCAAAGCTATCCCCACATCCCTTAAGACCTAGGCTTCCAAGCCTCACCTGTCTATGTCTCTTGCAGTGGCAGTGACCCTGGACCCAGAAACAGCACATCCCAAACTCATCCTTTCTGATGACCAAAGATGTGTACGGCTTGGAGACAGAAGGCAGCCTGTACCTGACAACCCCCAGAGATTTGATTTCGTCGTCAGCATCCTAGGCTCTGAGTACTTCACAACCGGCTGCCACTACTGGGAGGTGTATGTGGGAGACAAGACCAAATGGATTCTTGGGGTATGTAGTGAGTCAGTGAGCAGGAAGGGGAAGGTTACTGCCTCACCTGCCAACGGACACTGGCTTCTGCGACAGAGTCGTGGGAATGAGTATGAAGCTCTCACATCGCCGCAGACCTCCTTCCGCCTTAAAGAGCCTCCACGGTGTGTGGGGATTTTCCTGGACTATGAAGCAGGAGTCATCTCTTTCTATAATGTGACCGACAAGTCCCACATCTTTACTTTCACCCACAGTTTCTCTGGCCCCCTTCGCCCTTTCTTTGAACCTTGCCTTCACGATGGAGGAAAAAACACGGCACCTCTAGTCATTTGTTCAGAACTACACAAATCAGAGGAATCAATTGTCCCCAAGCCAGAAGGGAAAGGCCATGCTAATGGAGATGTGTCCCTGAAGGTGAACTCTTCCTTACTACCCCCGAAGGGCCCAGAGCCAAAGGATATAATCCTGTCCTTGCCCTCTGACCTTGGCCCAGCCCTTCAGGGGCTCAAGGTTCCTTCTTTTTAGGGATATGCCACATTACCTGCTCCCATCACCATCCAGCCCAGCACCCTGGACTTCAGTCGCCTGGTCCAACCCCATGATTCTGGAACGTCTCTTCTCCTTAACCCAATCCAGACCCTTTTGTGGTTTCTATTTGTACCACTTTTCTCCCAGAACTCAGTTCTGAAGCTTGCCTTTCTTCTAAGGAATTGAAGTTTCCAGTGACCTGAAGAGAGGATTCCTGGAAACCAATCAGTTTAGGTGTAGGTGGAGATGTTGAATATGTGTTACCAAGATATAGCACAGGTTCAGGGGAAAGAGTTCTCTACTCCAGGGGTTATTTAGAAGACACTTTCTCTGCCTCATCCTGCCCTCAAGCTTTAGTCAAGAAGTTATGGCCCCCAGTCCCTGACTTCTTATCCCATCAAGGGCTGCTTTTCTCTCTTTCTCTCTCTCATTTCTGGCCTCTGGCCCCCAAAGTCAGCTTTCTAAAAGCAAGCATGTTTTAGACCACTCACTCTTTCCCTCTTTCTTCAGGAATGAGTTGGGGGAGGAGTAAAACACATCCTTTTCTACTCTCTTAATGCTGTTTATAACGTAGTTTGGTGATATCCAGAGCTAATGTACATGCTTTCAAAAGCTAATCTGCCTGTTGATGATAACTAGGTACAGGGACTTTAAACACAGTTGCTATAATCCTGAAAAGCCTCAGGAGCAATCAGGTTACTGGGAAGCACAGCTGCAGAGAGCTCAGCTGTGTATTGCCCTCTGACTTTGGCCCAGACCTTCAGAGGCTCAGTCTGTTGAGTCTGTTGTGACTGTCTTATGAATCAATCTGTTGTGCCAGCCCTTTCTGAGATTCAGAGAGGCCCAACTAGAAAAAGTGGCAGTTTTAACCACCAACGTAGAAGCTTTCTTTTTCCCCACAAGACCATTGTACTGGAATACTTGACTGTGTAGCAAACAGCCTCTTAGGTTGGAGAGTATTGACTTCAAATAGGAAGTTGGTAGACTAGGTGTGAGGATGGAATAATGACCTTGATTTTTGGGTGCGTATTGCAGAAGCCTAGTCACTTTTAAGTCACACCACATAATGAGATCTGTGGCCTAATTGTGGAGATGTTGGTTATCAGTTTGCAGATGAATACAGAGTTCTATCCAACAGAAACTGTATCTTTCTGTTTGTCAGAAGTTCTCTGTTAGTTCCTGTATTAGTCAAGGTTTTCCAGAGAAACAGAATCAATATATATTGGGGCAGGGGGGCGGTGGTTATTATAAGGAATTGGCTCACATGATTATGGAGGTGGTTAAATCCCAAGATCTGCAGGGTAAGTCAGCAAGATGGAGTCCCATGAGAGCTGATGGTTTAGTTCCAGTCTGATGGCAGCAGGCTTGACACCAAGGAAGAGCTGATGTTTAATTCAAGTCTGAAGGCAGGGAAAAAAAGCTGATGGCCCTGTCCAAAGGCTATTAGGCAGGAAGAATTCTCTTAGGGCAGAGTTAGCTCTTTTGTTCTATTCAGGCCTTTAACTGATTCCATGAGGCCCACCCACATTTGGGAGGACAGTCTGCATTACTCAGTCTACTGATTTGAATGTTAATGTCATTGAGAAACACCCTCACAGGAACACTCAGAATAATGTTTGACCAAATAACTGGGCATCTTGTGACCCAGTTAAGTTGGTACATAAGATTAACTATCACAGTGACTCAGTGGAATTGTTTGCTTTTCTACAGTTTTAAAATAAAAGTTTGGTATTTGTGTTTTGGTATGCTGTTATTTTCATTGCGAATGAAGAGTTGTGGGGAAGGTAAGAGATTGGTTTTCAAAGAGCTTTGAGTCCCCCAAGGCAAGGTTTAGCCACCATTCACACTAAAGCCATAGTTTTATTCCCGAGTCTGCTCTCTAGTATTTTATTTTATCAATTTATAAACAAATAGTGTTCATCAGGTACACATATTTCACTCACCCACATTCAGTTCCAAACATGCGTTCCTGAATATCCCAGTCTTAAAACTAACTCACATTGTCAGCTTGTGGAGGCAGAATACTTACATACATACATATACACATGTATATATGTATGTGGATATATACATATCTATTATATAGGTGCATATGTATATATGTAACATGTATGCATGTGTATATGTATGCACAGATACACATATGTATGTATACATATTCACATGTATGCATGTATATACACATGTATATATTAATGTGTATATGTGTATGTGCATATACACATGTGTATGTGCATATACACATACGTATGTGTATATACACATACGTATGTGTATTATACATGTATATATGTATATACATATCAGTCTACTGATTTGAATGTTAATGTCATCAAGAAATAACCTCAATATATGTATTATACGTACATATAACAACTATATACAACATATATACATATATATGTATGTGTATATGTATACACACATACACATGCATGAGTATATATGTATGTATATAAAATATCCTTACAGTAATTCTGCCAGGGATTTTATGGGGGAGGAAGTTGGTACTCCAAATGGCTAGGTGGTAGAGCGGGGTTTTATACTTGATTTATCTAGCTCTGAAGGCAATGCTCCTTGTTCTGTGCACTGAAACATTGTGCAGCTATGAGAAGCCTGCAGTTAGTCTACGTATTCCATTAGCCTTTTATTATTTAAAAAAATAAAACCTGAAAAAAATGACATAGTCCTGGATACTTTGGTGATCTTGTTGTGTCTGGATTGATGAATAAGTGTCAGGCTTAATTAGGGATGCATGCAGAACCCGGGAAAATCCCTACTTAGGGACGCTGGCAGACCTGGAGGTTGCTCCTTGGACGGGTACTTTTCGCTTCTCCGATAAGGAGAATGGGTTATTTTATCTTTTTTTTTTTTTTTTTTTTTTGAGACGGAGTCTCGCTCTGCCGCCCAGGCTGGAGTGCAATGGCCGGATCTCAGCTCACTGCAAGCTCCGCCTCCCGGGTTCACGCCATTCTCCTGCCTCAGCCTCCCGAGTAGCTGGGACTACAGGCGCCCGCCACCTCGCCCGGCTAGTTTTTTGTATTTTTAAGTAGAGACGGGGTTTCACCGTGTTAGCCAGGATGGTCTCGATCTCCTGACCTCGTGATCCGCCCGTCTCGGCCTCCCAAAGTGCTGGGATTACAGGCTTGAGCCACCGCGCCCGGCCGGGTTATTTTATCTTTAAACTCCCTTCCAGCTCTACCCTCCTTTGATTTTAAGTTATTAAACCTTGAGTGCGGTGCCATACTCTTGGCTTCGTTGGATGTCTACAGGACGGTCAAGGGTTACCAACTCAAAGTAAAGAAGGAACTCTGAGTACGTGCCCCCTTGGAGGTTGTGTAGGTTAGCTATACAGATTCTACAACTTCCCAGACGAGTGGCCCTGAGACTTGGGGTTGAACGCGCGAGCACGCAAAGAAATCCCACCTTAGGACAGAACCCAATCTCTTCAGCTGCGTTCTAAACTTCGCAAGTTTTCTCCGAGTCTACGCGCTTCCTTAGGACTACAACTCCCAGCATGCCACGCCGGAGGTCAAAGCTTATTGGCGGTCCCGCTAGGTCGCTTGCGTTGTGGCAGTTATAGTAGCCAATGGAAATAAAGGATTATCTTAAGAAACCAATCCTGGAGTAGTAGGGAGGATCCTTCCTGGGTTCCGGCTCCGGCCCCAGCGCCTTCCCTTGCCTACGGAGGCGGTGCTGTCCCTGACCGAGCAGCGGGAGTGAGGTGGGTCCGGGTTGGGCCCGAGGTCGCGGGGGGAGGCGGACACGACTTCGCGGGAAACTCTGTACACGGCCACTTCACTCTCACCGAGAAGTTGGAGGCTGCTGTTTTGCTCCCTGGACCGAGTGGGAAGCCAAGGGGCCTTGTGGTCCCTCCACCCCGACCCTCGGCCCTGGTCCCCGGACGACGCAGCCAGGTGGCTGTCCCCACCCTATTCCCCGGCCCTTCTGTTGGGTTTGAGTATACGGCACTCTTGCCACTGACCATACGTTTAGAATCAGCCCTTCCTCCTCTCCCACCCCTCCGGCCCCAAGCCCGCCGGCAATCTCTGAAACCAGCCCTTGTCCCCTTGGGCCTCCGCCATTGGCTTCTCCCCGCCCCACAACACACAACCCAGCCTCTTGGGCCCTGGCCCTATGACACTTCTGGCAGTCTTTGCTCCCTCTTCCCTGACCAGCTCCTGCTACCCTCTGGCTTCCTTGGTCCTCCTCTATCTTTGACCCGTTATCTAGCTTCCCTGTACAATTACCCTGCTCGTCAACACTTTGCCCTTGGTCTTTCACAACTCCTCTCTCCCCTTCCTCCCCGCAGCCCTTGACTTGGCCCCAAAGACCTGTAACTTTGGCCCTCCATACCGCACTATGGCTTAGCTCCTTCCCTTTAACCTAGCCCCTTCACCGTCATCATCTGTGATCACTAGCCCCATCTTCTTGGCTCTTACTTCTTAGACCTGGCCCCTTCTCCACTTCTCAGCCCCTTCCACCTATGCTTCTCCCTGTGCAGCTGAGCCCCCGGGAAGACAAAGCCCAATAGACCTCTTTTCCCCCAAAATCTCTGCAGTGTGATGTGACAGTGCCTCTGTACTTCAGCTTCATTCTCGTCTCAGTAGGTAATTGGCTTTCTATCTCTGCGCGTCCCAGTCTTACCCATCCTGCAAGTCTTAGATCAAATACCTACTCTTCCATGAAACTGCTCAACCCTGATCTCATCAGGGAGATACACCTGTGTCATGTGAACTTCAGCGGTACTGTTTTTATTTATTTCCTTCCTTCCCGTCTTCTCTCCTTTTCTCCTTCAGTACTGGTATAATGGTTAAAAGCACTGGCTTTGAAGTGATGGGCATAGGCCCCAGTTCTGCCACTTACTTGCTGTGGGCCCTTGGTCAAGGTACTTAATTTCTCTGAGCCTCAGCTTTCTCATCTCTAAAATAAGGATGATGTGAAGTGAAATTAGATGATTCATGTATGGTGCTTAGTTCACAGCTTAGCACTTGATATGAGCTTTGAAAAATGTTAATAATGTGCCAGTGCTGTGTTAGACACTGAGGAGTGGGTACAAAGGTGACTAAGGCCCAGTTCCTGCCCCTGTCCCCTGAACTTAACCTTCTGCATTGTAAGACAATTTCTGCAGTTCATGGTCTGTGTCACTACACTGTATCACAAACTGTGAGTGGTAATCATAATCCTAAATCCTTTTGCTCTTACATTGACCTAGCATCCAGCCCTGGGTAGAGCTGGAACTTGGTAAATTATAGGTTCTCAGAATAGCAATTTTGGAATGGAGGCCAAATAGCTCATAGCATAGAGATACTGTAGCCGTGGGTCAGATGGGAGCAGGGCAGGGGGTGGGGGATGGGATGGTGGCGTAAATTAAGATCACATTCTGTCACTTATACATTCAAAGACATTTGAGCACCCAGCTTTATGCTGCAGAAGGAAATTACTAATATGACCCAGTCCCTTTCCTCAAGTTGCTTATAAACTGCTAGTAGAAACAGACATGTAAGTAAGTAATTGCAAACCACTATAAGGCAAGCACAAGATTCTGTGAGTGCATAAAGGAGAAAGGCAGGAATCAGGAGATTGCTGAGGAAAAGTGGGTGAGAATAGACACAAGTAACCATGAATTGGGTTCTGAAGACAGAGCTGGTGTTTTATTCAGCTCATTCAACAAATACTTATGAAGGATCTACTGTGTATGGCTGCCACTACTCTAGGAGTTTTGGTTACATTGGTAAATTGAAAAAAAAAAAAACCCCCCCCAAAAAACACAAAGACACCAGCTCTCATGGAACTTATGTTTTAGGGAAGCAGACAATAAATAATTGACATAAAGAAAATGTCAGAAGGTAAGATATGCTGTGGGGCAGGGGGACTGGGAGTGTGGGAGTGACTTAAATTTTTTAAAGGATGGTCAGGAAACAGTGTCTAAGTATCACGGAATAGTTTCTCATGTTTACTTGCGTTTTTGGAAGTAAAGCAAGTCAATTATTTTTCATATTGATTATCTAAATTCTTCAAGGAGCACTAACAGGGATTGGTAAATTACAGCTCACTTCCTGTTTTAAATAAAGTTTTATTGGAACACAGCCACACTCCTTTATGTCTTATCTATGGCTGCTTTAATGATTCGTGATACAGTGGCAGAATTGAATAGTTACATGGCCATAAATATCCCATGGCCATAAATATCCCATGGCCATAAATATTTACTAAATATTATCTGGCCCTTTACAGAAAAAGCTTGTCAATCTCTGGTTCTTAAAGAGTTGAGGGTCTGTCTGTATTTCACATTTTAGAAGGTTATATACAGTTTTATGCTATTTTTAAGTTAAAAGTTTTTTCTTAATGAGATCGTTTAAAAGATCTTTTTCTTGTGTTCTTCACAGGGCCTGGATATAATGTCTTCAACAGTTGTAACAGCAGCTGCTATTTGCTGATTGACAGCATGTGTCACACACTCTGCTGAGTATTACAGGCATTTTTTTCTAATACAAAGTCTTGTAGTGTGGGTAGGTATCACAATTTTAGTGATGAGGGAGTTTAAGCTCAGAGTGGTTGAATAATTTGCAGAGAGTAGTAGAGTTAGTATGTGTCACAGTTGTAATCCAGCCCTAAATGTAGTCAGTACCTCTTTCTTCATTCTGTGTTTTTTTCCAGAAATACTTGCAGACTTGAAGGAATTATCAGTCTTTCATTTTCTATCATCAGTGTCCTGTGATAGTTTGTGCTTCCCTCCCTCATCCCTTTGTTCATGTCACTCTGTTCACCAGCCCACTCTGCTGAAATGTCGTTATTTCTTCAAGGCCTGGAGGAAATGCTATCACTCTCATCAGAGGTACTTTTCACCCCAACTCTTTCCCTGTCCTTGGCTGTAGGAACCTAAAGGAGTCTGTGAGGCTTAGCACACATTTACTGATGTTTGCACAAATCAAGGCCTATACTGGGCACTCTTATGTGTTTAGTTTTGGGGTGGAGTGTGGGGAGTGTGGTTTGTGTGTCTGTGTCTGTGTTTATCTTTGTGTGTACTTGGTATGTGAGTGTGTGCTTGTGTGTGGTGTGTGGGTATATGTGTGTAGACACATATGTAACTATGTGTGTGGCTGTGGCATGTGGCTAAATGTGTGTGTAGTGTGTGGTGTGATAATGTATGGTTGTGTGTGGTGTGTAGGTGTGTGGTGTGTAGTTGTGTGGCTGTTGTGTGTGGTATGAGAATGTGAGTGTGTCTGGTATGTGAGTATGACTGTGTCACATGAGAATGTGGCTTTGTGTATGGTGTGAGTGTGTATGTGTGATTCTGCTTGCTTGTGTGCATGCATGCGTGTGCGGGGGGGGGGCAGTGGGTGGGGCTTTGTGTGGTGTTTGAGAATGTAGTGGAGGGCACTGACTGATCAGAAGAAACACAGCCCAGGCCCCACAGTAGGTCCTGGAGGTCCCAGGTATTAACCCAGATGTTTACTTGCTAGATTCTGCTGTGGTCTGGAGAGGGGTACAGTGGCAGAAATCTCAAGAAAAGGCAAAGCTGGGCTTGTCACCTAGGAGAGCCTCAAGATTTAGAGGTTTTGTTTTGTTCATTTTGAAATCTGGCAAATAGATGGATACTTGTAAGGAAGGCTTTTCAAAAAGGATTAAACATAAAAAGAGTTACAGTTAACTTACAGTTAGGCAGAAAAATTGCACTTATCCCAAAATGAAAGCTCTTTTACTTGCCCATGAATTATAGTCTGGATTGTCGTTGCTTAGTGATATCAAGAAGAGTGACATTATTCAAATGGCACAAATATCATCTGGTGGTGGTGGACAAAGCCGGTGCCTTCTTTTTGCTCTGGTGGGTAGCTTTAAATATCTCTGAAAGTTTGTCACTTAAAAGGTAGCAAGTAAAGGTGTTCTATCCAAGTATTCCAGTTGATTGAAGTTATTTCTAGTGGATGGTCCCATGGGGAAGGTGTATACCCTTCAAACTGAACAAAAGATTCCCTATGATCTGGCCCAACCCAAAGAATAAAGGTGTTGGCCATTTGTGTTCATTCTCAGGGTTCAGAGATGGGCAGTGAGAAGGAGCAGAGTCCAGAACCACACCTGCCTGAGGAAGGGGAAGGGGGTAAGCCTTGGAGAGTGGATGACTCAGAGGGTTCTTGGATCCCACCTGGGGAGAAGGAGCATGGGCAAGAGAGCCTGTCGGATGAACTGCAAGAAACTCATCCAAAAAAACCATGGCAGAAAGTCACTGTCCCGGCTCGAGAGCCAGGGGATCCCATTGCTCATCCAAGGCATGAGGCAGATGAGAAACCCTTTATATGTGCCCAGTGTGGCAAAACCTTCAATAATACCTCCAACCTGAGAACACACCAGCGGATCCACACTGGTGAGAAGCCTTACAAGTGTTCTGAATGTGGCAAGAGCTTCTCGAGAAGCTCCAACCGCATCCGGCACGAGCGGATCCACCTGGAAGAGAAACACTACAAATGCCCCAAGTGTCAGGAGAGCTTTCGGCGGCGCTCAGACCTCACCACACACCAGCAAGATCACCTAGGCAAGCGGCCATACCGCTGTGACATCTGTGGCAAGAGCTTCAGCCAGAGCGCCACACTAGCTGTGCATCACCGGACCCACCTGGAGCCAGCGCCCTACATCTGCTGTGAGTGTGGGAAGAGCTTCAGCAACAGCTCCAGCTTTGGCGTGCATCACCGCACCCACACAGGTGAGAGACCTTACGAGTGCACTGAGTGCGGGCGGACCTTTAGCGATATCTCCAACTTTGGAGCTCACCAGAGGACCCACAGAGGGGAGAAGCCCTACCGGTGTACTGTGTGCGGGAAACACTTCTCCCGGAGCTCGAATCTCATCCGCCACCAGAAAACTCACTTGGGCGAGCAGGCTGGGAAAGATTCCAGCTGAAGGAGAGCCCCATTTAGAGTGAAGGAGAGAGAGCGAGAGACCCCAACCTATTGGAGGAAGATCTTGAGCATCTGCTGCTGCTACCTTGACCTCAAGCCCTTCATCCCACTTTGGAGAATGGTTTTGTATTGCCTCTGAAGTCAGGATCTCAGGAAGTCCTGATAAGGGACTCTGGAGTAAAAACCCTTGCCTCTTTCCGGGCCAATTTCTCGTGCTGAAAAGTCAGAGGACCCAGTCTTGGCTTCACTTTCTTGGGGTGAAAGAGAAATAGGGTAGGCTCAGAACATGCTCGTGTCATTAAGGCAGCAGTCCCCTGGCCTTTGAGGAAGTACCTATGAGATGGGTGTCACTATCTGAAGGTTCTCCAAATTGTCTGTGAACTTGCTTAGGTAGGAGTGCACTGCAGTGTCCTGCTAGTTCCCACCTATTGTGCCCCAACTTTGCTTCTAGATCTCTGGGCTGGGAGGAGTGACCTTCTCAATGGAAGGGGCCTCCTTGGTCTGGAGAAGAGATCTGAGGTCCTGCCTTAGAAATGAAAGGGAAACCCTCAGGGAGCCATGACCCAGGGACCTTCACACTCCCCAATGTTTGTTACTTGTTATCCCTCCCCCAACCTCCCCAACCTGCCTCTGTTTTCCCCAGAGTGATTAGCAGTAAAACCCTTCAATGAAAAGGACCCGTGTACTTATTTGGGGAAGTGGGGAGCTGGGGAGATTGTCCCACTGAACCCACTCTGCAAGGGAGTTGAATTCTAAGAAAGACAGGTAGATGCTCTGGAAAGCAAAAGAAAGCCGACTGAGTTTCTGGGGCCTTTGAAGAGAAGGGGGAAAGGAAAGGAACTAACATTAATTGAGCATCCACTACATGCAATTGTTTCCATCAGTCACATTTAGATTCTTTATCTCATGTAGTTGTTACAGCAACCCTCAAAGGAATAAGAAGAGGACATGGAAGTGAGTAAAGATAAAGTCACTTGCTGTGAAGTCATAACAGCAAGTATGTTGTGGAGCAGAGTTCAAACTTGGGCCTCCCTGACTGCCAGCTGTTGCTCTTTTCACCAGATTTACCTTTTAGCTTCTGAAGGAGGAGCCACTTAGGAGACTTGCCTGGAGGTAGGAGCCAGTGTGGCCTCTTAGTATGGCCTTGGACCATTTGCTCTATGGCAAGTCAGTACCAAGCATGAGAACCTTTTCAACTTTATTTTGAGGTCAACTTTATTTTATCTTGAGACAGGATCTTGCTCTGTCGCCTGGGCTGGAGTGCAGTGGTGTGATGACAGCTCACTGCAGCCTTGATCTCCTGGGCTCAAGTGATCCTCCCACCTCAGTGTCCCGAGTAGCTGGGACTGCAGGTGCACACCACCACACCTGGCCCTCAATGTTATTGATTGAGCACTTACTCTGTGCGTAGGAAGAATGGCAGTGACAGGGAGTAGGGGGTGAAGGGTGGGATAAGGTGAGAGAAATCTTAAAACCCATAATGAGAGTCTTTGCTTTTAGTAGCAATAGTTTAGTCCCCAAGGCTGAAACAGCTTAGCACGGATTCTGTCTGGTTTCCTGTCCTCCTGGTTTAGGCCTGGCTCCACATGGCAGATTTCAGTGTTTTCTACATCGAAGTTTAGTGTTCACCCAGTTTTCCTCTAACAAATACAAAAGAACCCTTCCTCTAACAAATACAAAAGACCTCTGTCTACCTCTCTTGTGAATTTGGGGCCCTACTCTTCCAGAGTGAGGGGCCCTCTTCATTTGTAGCCAGTTGGCAGAGTGTGATTCTGGCACCAGGCTTGGAACTGACATCACCCATAACCTTGCCTAACATGGGGACCCTGCCGTTCACCAGGAAGAGATGTGCTAGGAACTTTACACTCATTGAATTCTCACAGCAACTAACAATGACCTGCATTTGCCATATGTAGAACTAGGCTGATGGAGAAAGTGACTTGCCCAAGGTTACAGAGCAAGTAAATGTAGAGTGTAGGACCTGAACTGCTGCCCAAATTCAAGTCCTGTATTTTGTCCAACTACAAAAGACTTCCCAAATGATTCCTTTATATTTATAGGGTACTTTATTGTTTACCAAGCACTTTTATTTCATACACGTTTTCCGATTCCTTGAAAATCTCCACACAATATATTTTAAACATATAGTCACCCAAACGTGAGTTGGCACACACCCTAATAATAAAGATCACTATCTTCTAAACCCTACTAAGTGCCAATTATTGTACACCTCTTATCTCTAATCTTCATACTATCCTTTAAGGTAGTAATGTCCCCATGTTCAAGGCAAGAAAATTCTGTGAGGTTAAATGACCAGACCTATTGGCAGAGTTGGACTTAATTCAGGTATGTCTGATCCCAAGGCCAAGCTCTTCATTATACCCACCATCAAGCTAGGTCTACAGATCCCCTCTCAGTCTGGGAAGCTTGGTCTGACTCCTTTCTGACTTGGAGACTTTGTGACGACCACTGTGACGTTTTTTGTTTTTGAGACAGAGTTTTGTTCTTAGTGCCGAAGCTGGAGTGCAATGGCGCGTTCTCAGCTTACCGCAACTTCCACTTCCCAGGTTCAAACAATTCTCCTGCCTCAGCCTCCCGAGTAGCTGAGATTACAGGCATGTGCCACCACACCTGGCTAATTTTGTATTTTTAGTAGAGGTGGGGTTTCCCTATGTTGGTCAGGCTGATCTCAAACTCCCGACCTCAGGTGATCCACCCGTCTCGGCCTCCCAAAGTGCTGGGATTACAGGCGTGAGCCACCGTGCCCAGTCCCCGCTGTGATTTTATAAGAGTGTCTGCTGCCATTTGGGCCTACGACCAATGTACCAGGCCCCTGCTTTGATCTTGGAACATAACTCCCCAGCCGATTTCACTTGTCCCTTTTTTTTTTTTTTTTTTTTTTTTTTTTTGAGATGGAGTCTCACTCTGTTTCCCAGGCTGGCGGACAGTGGTGTGATCTTGGCTCACTGCAGCCTCTGCCTCCCGGATTCAAGCAATTCTCCTGCCTCAACCTCCCGAGTAGCTGGGATTACAGGTATGTGCCACAACACCTGGCTAATTTTTGTATTTTTAGTAGAGACGGGGTTTTGCCATGTTGGCCAGGCTGGTCCTGACCTCAGGTGATCCACTTGCCTCAGCCTCCCAAAGTGCTGGGATTACAGATGTGAGCCACTGTGCCCAGCTCACTTGCCCTTTTTTGACCGTAACTTATATGCTAAGATTTTTTTGTGTGAGTCAATGCTTTTGAGTCCTGACTAGTCCATTTATTCACTGTCTAACTTCCTTTTAAACTTTATTTTCTCCTTCATTGCCCTTATTTTTTCCCTTTCTCCCTCACTCCATCTATTCTTTCTTCTCTTCCTCTCCCTCTTTTCCTACTTCCCTCTTAGTCACTTGTAATACTGACACTGAAGACAATGTGGCCCCTGATTTCTAGTGCAGGAGATTGCCACACAAATCCAGAGTTGCAATGCAGGATGATAGGTGTCATTACAGTCATACCCAGGATGCTGTAGAAGCCGGGGGAGTACCTTAACCTGGCCTGTACTGGACAGTGGGGCCCAGAAGTGGGTAAGACATAGTCCTTCCTGGCTGGGCACGGTGGCTCACTCCTGTAATCCCAGCACTTGGGAAGCCGAGGCGGGCAGATCATAAAGTTAGGAGATCGAGACCATCCTGGCTAATACGGTGAAACCCCATCTCTACTAAAAATATGAAAAGTTAGCCAGGTGTGGTGGCAGGCACCTGTAGTCCCAGCTACTGGGGAGGTTGAGACAGGAGAATGGTGTGAACCCGGGAGGAGAAGCTTGCAGTGAACTGAAGTGGCGCCACTGCACTCCTTTCATCTGAAAGGATATGATTGAATTTGGTCTGAATGAATAGTTGTTTATAGCAGAGAAAAGAGAGGAAAGGTAAAGGTTATTTCAGATGGAAGGGAAGGCTTAGTGTTTTAGGAAATAATGAAATGTTTGATAGTGTGCCCTGTGTGAGGAGGAGAGGAGGCCCTTGTGTTGGATGCCAGGTTAAGAAATTTTGGACTGTGTACAATAAGGAATTTTAAAGCTTGGGAATGACATGATAACATTCATCATTTATTTAGGAAAAGCACTTGGGCTAGTGTGGAGGATAAACTAAAGAGGGATGACTGATTTGGAAACATGCTCAGTGTGTAAACCAGGTGCCAATTAGGACCCTCCTGATCCACAGAGAGTTCTGTATGATTGCCTCAGAGCATTGCCAATTCCACAGAATGGGAAATTTCAAACCTTCCACACCATTTCTGCAGATTCCTGGGGTTTATGACCTCATAGTCTCTTGCCTGAGATTCCTGTGATCTGTATAAACCTTTTCTATTTTGTCCGCATTAGTCCTGTCACAGAACTCAGCTCTTTTGATAAGTTTAGAATCCTTGCAAGAGATTGAGAATCTTAGTGAGGAGTTACATTAAGACATGTCAGTAGCTTCCTATTCTGTCATTTCTGCTCACCTCCCCACCCTCTCTCTGGATTGCCACAATAAGACTATGGTGCATCATTGTTTGTTGTTTGATATTCTGAGATAAGGTCTCCCTCTTGCCCAGGCTGGAGTGCAGTAGTGTGATCACAGCTCACTGCAGCCTCCGCTTCCTGAGCTCAAGCAATCCTCCTACCTCAACCACCCCAGTAGCTGGGACCACAGATGTATGCCGCTGCACCTGGCTAATTATTTTTGTTAGAGATGGGGGTCTCACTGTCAGGCCTCTGAGCCCAAGCTAAGCCATCATAACCCCTGTGACCTGCACGTTTACATCCAGATGGTCTGGAGCAAATGAAAAATCACAAAAGAATTGAAGCAGTCAGTTCCTGCCTTAACTGATAACATTCCACCATTGTGATTTGTTCCTGCCCCACCCTAACTAATGAATCAACCTTGTGACAGTCCTGCCCTGGACAGTGAGTCTCAGGAGCTCCCCACTGAGCACCTTGTGACCCCCACCCCTGCCCACAAGAGATAACCACCTTTAACTGTAATTTTCCACTACCTACCCAAATCCTGTAAAACTACCCCACCCCTACCTCCCTTTGCTAATTCTCTTTTTGGACTCAGCCCACTTGCACCCAAGTGAAAATAAACAGCCTTGTTGCTCATACAAAGCCTGGTTAGGTGGTCTCTTCACACTGACGTGCATAACATTTGATGCCGAAAAACCCGGGTCGAGAGCTCCTTTGGGAGACTGCCCCCCTGTCCTCACCCTCCCTCAATGAGGAGATCCACTTATGACCTCGGGTCCTGAGACCAGCCCAAGGAACATCTCACCACTTTCAAATTGGGTAAGCTGTCTTCTTCACTCTCTTCTCCAGCTTCTCTTGCTACCCTTAAATCTCCCTATCCTTCTAATTCCAGTTCTTTTTCCTCTCTAGTAGAGACAAAGGAGACACATTTCATCCATGAACTCAAAAACTCTGATGTCGGTCATGGATTTGGGAAGACAGTCTTCCCTTGGTGTCTGATCATAGCGGGGACGCCTGCCTTGATCATTCACCCACATTCCACTGGTGTCTGATCTCCACGGGGACACCTTCCTTGATCATTCACCCACACTCCCTTGGTAGCAGGTCAACTGCAGGGATGCCTGCTTTCCCTGCTCACTCACATTACAGCCCAGGACTCAGGGATGCCTACTGGAAGCCTGGTA